ATAATTATAGAGCTCTAATAGCATATTACCTGGCTCTAGTTTATAGTCATCTTAACCCTTGGTCCTTAGTAACTGTATAGCAACTATTTATCTATGAATTAGTATAATAATATCATCACTATTAGACTGTAGTATAGTCTAATTACTATATTATCTTATAGGTGCATTAGTGGGATTAGCCTTCCCCTTTTAGTACTTAATAATAAAATTAAATAGCATTAATGAAATTAACTAATAGGCCTATCTGCTATTTAACCTTAGTTATTTTATAAAACCTTATAGGTTAGCATAATTAGAAAGGACCTTAATCTAATATATAGCTCCTTTAGTATACTAATACTAATATTTAAAGGAATGAATAATAGCAAATAATTCTTTATCTAGTATTACCTAATTAAGTTTAGCTCCTATGAACTTTCTTAACTAGAAGGCAATAGGATGCCATCTCCCTTATTTATCTAGTTAGGAGAGGATATCAGCTATGCTGTCTTTTAAGGTATCTATCTCTATTTAAATTAGTAGAGCTGAATTAAAGTACTATAATAGTGGTACTGCCTAAAAGGCTATAATAAGTCTTTAAAATACAAGCTTCTTAATAAGGTTAAACTTTACTAATCCTAGTTTCTTTCCTTCTTTCATTCCTCTCATAAGATTAGTCAAAGGTAAAGTAATTAGGGAATAGTTCTTAATAAATTATTAATAGAAGTTATAGAAGCCTAAGAAGACTTAGATATTATAATAACTATAGGGTTCCTCCTATGTAATAATAGTTTCTACCTAGCTTATATCCATAGATATACTATTAGCTAAGATGATATACTCTAGGAATTTAATATAATTTTAGTAGAAGGCGCATTTGGAGGGTTTAGCATAAAGTTTTGCCTTTTATAGTTTTTCTAAGACTTAAGAGATATGTTTAGTATGTTCCTCTCTTATCTAGGAGAAAATGAGGATATCATTAAGATAGGCTATATAAAAGATATTAAGAATATCATATAAGGCGGTGTTAATGTAATTCTGGAAGGTGGCTAGCATATTTATAAGGCTAAAAGGCATAATTATATACTTATAGTAGCTATATTAGGTATGAAAGGCTGTCTTCTATTCATCTCCTTCTTTAATATAGATTTAATAGTATATATCTTAGATATTAATTTTACTGAAGTATTTAGCCCCTGAGATTTAGTTAAGAATCTCTGATATAAGGGGTAATAGGTACTAATTCTTTACTATTATCTTATTAAGTCCATGGTAATTAATACATAGTCTTAGTCCCCTATCTTTCTTTAGGATAAAAAGGATAGGAGCTCCTGTAAAACTTTTAGAAGGTTGAATTCTTTTATATATAATATTCTTATTAAGATACTCCTTTAATTCTTGAAGTTCTGCTTGGGATAAGGGATATAGTAGGCTAAATAGTAGTAATTTATTAGGTTTTATTTTAATAGTGTGATCCTAAGAAGAGTGAGAAGGTATAATCTTTAACTTTTCTACTAAGAATATATTATAGAACTTAGCTAGTTCTAGAGGTATATTCTTAAGAGAATAATACTTCTTATCTTTCTCTTCCTCTATAAGCCATACCTCTTCAGGTAACTTAACTAATATAAATACTATTATATAGTTATAACATAGTTTCCTGAACTTTTGAGAGTTAGTTAGGGAGAAAGTTAATATCTTAAACCACCATTAGCATTTCCATGGTGATAAGTAGATATAGAGATCCTATAATATAGTTATTAAAAGAAGAATAGGACTTCCTCTAGGTTGTAGGTCTTAATTAATAGCTATATAAGCTTATTTAAAACTTTATTTATTACCCCTAGAATTGTAGGCAATGATAGGGACCTTCTAAACCCTATAAGTAGGGGTAATAAAGTTATTAACTGCCCTAATAATAGGGGTAGTAAGTTTAGCTTACTATAGCTTTAATAATCTTATAAAAGTAATGCTAATAATGTTAACCTTAGTATAGCTATTAAGATTAGTGTGTGTTTTAAGGCTGTTAGCTAGCTATATTAGAATATAGAAATAAGTAGTAGTCCCTACTACTAGGTAGGAGGTTAGAGATGTAGGTTTTACTCTAACCTCTTATTATTTTCTATAATTAATTAGACTTTAGCATCCCTTGTAATGCACTAGTTAGCAAGATGTTCTTTACTACTATATTTATAGTATTTTAAGGGATTCCTATTCTTATTAAGTTAATTTTACTTAGGTTTTATAAACCTCTCAGGATTCCTTTGAAAGCATTTTAATGGGTTACTATCTTGAGATTTCCCTTCTTAAGGCTTTCTAATGTCTTTTCTCTTCTGTTTCTATTATTTCTGTAAAAAGGTGTGGTATTTTAAAGCTATAGACACTATTTTATCTTAAGTGTCTAGTAGTTTATCAAGGTATTCTTGAATATAAGTATATAACTCTGGTGTAAGGCTACTGAAGAAGGCCAGAGCTTGTTACTTTTCATCTTATCTAGGGAAATATTATTCTAGAGAATCTAAATAATAATAAAATTCTCTAGGGTCCTTATCTAGGTATTAATAGGCCTAATATAATTTAATAATAATATTAGCCTTAATAGTTTCAGTATCTTAGATTAAGCTCAAGGTCTAGTCTTTAAAAAACTGCCATGAATTCTTAGCATTTTATTATCTTTCTATTAATATTTTATAAATTTTAATATACTATTACTGCCTGCAGGTGGAGTCCATTTATATAATAGCAGTAATAATTTTAAACTTATCAGGGGTATATTTCTTTAGGGCTCCTCAGAATATATATTCCATATCTTAGAGCCATTCTTCTCTTTTCTAGAGTGAATATTTAATAGTAAAGATAGGAAGATTCTTAAATTTAATTTCCTGCCTATCTTCTATTAAAGAGGTGTCATTTTAATGGGAAAGTTATTCAGACTTATCAACTCTTTGAGTCTGTTGAAGGCGTTCAAGTTCAGTAATTTATTATAGTATTTATTATATTTCAGCACCCTTTAACTCTTGAGATTAATTAGTAGGGGTAGAGGAGTTACTTAGATTAAGAGACATTTCTTTAATAAGACCATATTATTCCACTAGTAAAGGGGTAGAAGTAATAGCTCCATGGTGAAATTCAGCAGGCATTATAACTAATACTTAAGTAGTCAAAGAAAGAAGGATTAGAAATTATAAGGATCTATGTATCAGGGTAGATGGCCTGTTGACTAGGTAAGAATTAGTAATAATAATTAATGGAAGAGAATGATAGAGAGTAGTAGATTATATAAAATAAAACTAATCCTTATCTTCTTGAATACCAGATAAGGGGGATACTATTTATCTTCGCTGTCTATCATAGATGCATTCAGCGATGAATTGAAAGCGGCTCAAGATGTGAAAGCAGGAGGTTGAAAACAGGAGGTTGAAAACAATTAGGGAGCAAGGGGTGGCTGCATAATTGGGTGGCTGGGCTGCGACTGAGCCTTTACAAACACCTTCTAATTAGATTTACCTAATTCTATAAAAGTCCACCCTATCTTCACACCTAAGAAGCTTTATAAAGCCCCATCCACACCACCCCTGCCTAGCCAGCTTCAGGACCCAGCTCCCCTACTTAAGGTCAATGGTGGAGATGAGTGAGAGGTTAATAAAATACTTACATCCCAGCTCTACTATCACAAGCTCTAGTACCAGGTAAGATGGCTTAGTCATAATGTTAATCTTTCCTGGTACCTAGCCTAAAACTTTAGAAACTCCCCAACATTGCTCCAAGACTTCCATACCTGATATCCAGCCATGCCAGGTCCACTAATGCGCCTACTAGAATGGCTGCAAGCAGCTGAAGACAATGTATTCCTTGATGATCACCCAGACGATGATAGACCCCAAATGAGGACATCCGGAACCTAAAGGGGGGGTAATGTGATAATCTGTCACCATATTCCCTGCTGACATCCTTACACGAGAGCTTTCTGCCTCTCTTGACTGCTTACTGCTTTGGGGTTGTTTAGCTAGTTTGCACCGCTCCGCTCTCTATTTATAATATCTCCCCACCATGTACATACTTTCCTTCTCTCTCTTCTCTATGCTTAGTTTTCTATCGAAATACTACCATACCATTGGAATATGAGCAGTGCCATCATACTATCTATTGATATTGAATGCCATCTAGTATTAACATTAAATGCCATCTTTTATTAACATCAAATGTCATCTAGTATTAATATTAAATGTCATCTATTGTTATTAATATACTACTGCTAATTACTAAGGTATAAAATGAAATTTTACTGCCAGCAGAAAACTGGAAAGTCTGACATACTAAAAGTCCTAAAGTAGTTATTTCGGCTTTGTCCCAATGGCTTGCCGTAGTATCATCTCCCGCAAGCCGCCCTAGCCCTCAAGCCTGTTTTGTTAGAACTGGGTGGCAAGCACTTTACTATGGTCCTTAATAATGCTAACTTAGATTTTGCAGCCTGAGAGATCACTAAGGGCGCCTTCTCAATGTAAGCCCCACAGGCAGACTTGGCCTTGTGTGGGGACATAGAACTAATATTAATGCAGAATAGTAAAATCTGCATGTTGACTAACAAGGTCCTGGTCATGACTGCCATGGCTCTAGCTCTTAAAGCTAAGATTCTGGCCATCCCGCATGATGTTAATACCGCCTTAGTGCTTATCTCCCCAGCAGCCAAGGCCAGGGTGGAGGTGCTTATATCTAATATATATAATAAGGGTGCTTAAATTTATGTACCCCCCCTGGTTAATGAGACCTCACCACAGAGATTCCCTCCCACTATGGTAATAGGGCTAACGCCTGAGATAAAGCTGTATGAAATTAAGTCTGTTAGGATGGAAGAATAGATTACTACTATTATTAAGGTAACTAAGTATAGATTATTAACCTTAATAGTTTCCTGGAATTATTACTGTGTCCTTAAGCTAGCTAGCTCTATTAAGGTAGGTGCAGTCTATATTAATTCCATAAATATACATCATGAGCTAACTCTGCCTCATGGAGGGTATGGGGATAGTGGTTAAGGTTGGTTTGGCGCTCGCTGGGGGTTGGTGGAGTTTGTCCAGGTTAAAGTCATCACCCTGCATCCATAGGGTTGACCAGAGTGAACATTGGCTGGACTGCCTTGGACTCAATACACCTCTCTTGCTCTAAGTCCGCAGTGCCTGATAGTAAGATGGGAATACTAAGGCTGGATGAAATTTTGTTGAGTGGGTTAAGGTTAAATAAATGGCATAAGCTGCAGAGTATACCATCACCAATCATGTAGTTGAGCAGTGGATAAGTGCCCACCAAAGTTCCAAATCACCGGTACAAATGGATCTTAGATGAGGAATCCAAAGTTGTGAAGTTCTCGCCAGGGCCAGCGGGCAATTTGATGCTGCCAACAGATATTGCCACCTATGTACTCAAAGAGAGCTTCTTAAATATAATAGCCACTTTTCCAAGAAGTCTCTTCACACGAGCGGGTCGCATGGCTCCACTACAAGGCGTGATACCAATCCTCTCGTCTAACTCACTCCAAAGCACATCGATCTGTCTGGCTGATAGCAAACCCACTGTACCCCCTCCGGCGTCTCACTGATGCCTAGAGCACGTTCCATCCCCTCCAGTCGGTGAACAGTAAGGTTACAGAAGAGTAGACCCTGTATGCATGGGTTTTCTAGGGGCAACCCTCCAAAGGTGATGCCTGGGATAGTGGCGATAGGGTCAATGGCGAGTCGCGCTATGCGGGCAGTGAGGTGCTCAAGCAACAGCTCGTAGAGAGAAATGAGCTGGCTAAAGATACTTGTGATGGTCAGGGAGAGAGGAGCTAGCAATGGTTGCGCGGCGGCGAAGGGGTAGGTCAAAGAAAAGGTGGAAGTCGGATTATGTCGGTTACCAATGGGGGATTGCAACGGCAGTGGGAATGGATTTTGTGAGCTGCAGAGCCGCTTCAGTATCTGCAAGAACTCTTCCGATGTGTTCAACATGAACTCGGCCAATGTGTAATTGTGAATAAATAACGGGCTCTCTCGGTAGAGGATGCTATTCAAGTCTAGAATCGCCTTGTTCCTTTCAGTGGCTGTGATGCGGATGTGTAAGTCGATGTTAATCTTAGAAAGTTTGCTTATGGCGTCTGAGTTATCAATATCGCCCGCCGCATTGACTCGTCCCAGTATTGTCAGAGTATCTGGAGCGCAATTGATGCTAATAGCTGCCGGATCGAGCAAGTGAACACCTGTGTTTGTGAAGTCGAGGGTCGAATCGAAGTCGGGCAAGAGAAAGTCGCGATCAAAGGTATGGCCAACATTCCCAGTGAGCGAGTCATGATAAAACGAAGGCATTCCAGCGGTCGACCTTGTTGGTGCGAGAAAGAATGCATCATCTGCTGCTGTCACCCGAGATGGTGCTGGTATTGGCATGGCTGCTGGAGAGACTATTCGGCTGACTCCGGGCCGGTCATAGACCTCTAGGAACGAAGGAGTCTCCTGGGATTTTCCATAAGAGTTAAGCTGGCTCTGCGGCTCGAATATTTTACTTGGAGACGTTTTGATGCTTGGCCGTGACTTTAGTCCTGGCTTTTTGGGTGCACCAAGGGCAGAAACCGCCGCTCTCTTCGGCCTGCCAACTTTCCCCTGTTGTCCAATAGTACACTCTGCACCAAGCACCATACACCGAGTACATTTAGCGGCATTTTCTTGCATTCGCGTACATCTCGACTTATGTTTCCTGCAGGGCTCACAAGAAAAGCGCCTCTGGGATGGATGGATGGATGTGGCCCCCATAATGTTTTGTCCAACAGCGTCATAAAGTCTAATACGAAGGATCACTGATGCCAAGGGCGTCGAGATGGGAAGGGCAAGGGCGAGGCTCAAGCCAGTGCGATGATGTTTCTGGCGGGCTGTGATTAAAATGCCCGGCGGAGGCTTTTTGTTCTTCAGAAAAGCTGATAAATATCCGTTTTCCTTGCCAGAGGGTTTTCGGGCTGCTAGAAATGACCGAACGGCGGTGGTCCAGGCCTGGCCAGTACTTAATGTTGTGGGTATATGGGTGATCTGCGGCGTACGATCACTAATCATTCCGGCCATGGTATGAGTCGGCGTCGGGTTCAAGATTCTGCGAACCGACTCTTAGGCTTTTTGGACTAGCTTTATCAATGGCCACCTAGCTCCTGGGTGGGGCTTAACTAATGCAAGGGCGCCATATCAGAAATTGGGTTTCACGCTACGGAGTGGCGATAATTAGTCCCATCTCCAGTCAAACGCCATACCGGAGGGTTTAATGTTGAGTAAATCAAAACTTGGACTTTTCGACTAAGGAGGGTTTCCCAGTTGCTTAGTAGAGCACGGAACGAGACCTTAGACGCAACCATGAATGCAGGATTCCGAACAGGCAATGGAGCGTATCCAACGCCATGGATGAGCTCGTTTTGGCTGCTTGTATATAGAGGTGTAGGTCTCTCTGAGTTTTGCACTGGATTCCACTTTCTTGCGCATTTCGTAACGTCTCTGTTTCCGACCACCTCTTCCCAGTTTCACAATGAACATCAGTTCGACATCTGTGGACACAGAGTCCACCACCGCAGACGAGGCACTGCACACAGCGGAGGACAAGACGGAAAATGTATCCAACTTCCGTTCCAGGACGACATGGCACATGGCACCCGAAGTGTCCAAAATGAGGGAGCGAGATGAAGCAGGTGGTGAGAAGCCCAGGAAGCTCGGGGTGACCTGGGATAATCTTTCTGTCAAAGGCGTCGGCAGTAACGCCACGTTCAACGAAAATGTACTCTCTCAGTTTTTCCCCTTCCATAGGGGTAGCAAAGATGCCCAGCAGAAGACCATCATTGAGGATTCATATGGATGCGTTAAGCCAGGAGAGATGTTGCTTGTGCTTGGACGCCCTGGCGCCGGCTGCACGACGCTTTTGAACGTCCTCGCTAACAATCGGCTTGGCTACGAGGAAGTCACCGGAGACATCCACTATGGAAACATGTCTGCCGAGGAGGCCAAACAATATCGTGGCCAGATCATCATGAACACGGAAGAGGAAATCTTTTTTCCAACTCTGTCTGTCGAGGACACCATTGACTTCGCCGCTCGCATGAAGGTTCCTTATCACCTGCCCCCTGGGATTGAGTCCCATGAGGAATATGTCCAGTCCTATAAAGAATTTCTCCTGCGATCAGTGGGAATATCCCATACCGCGAAAACGAACGTGGGAGACGCTTTCATCAGGGGTGTCTCGGGAGGGGAGAGGAAACGTGTGTCAATTCTTGAATGCCTGACCACCCGCGCGAGCGTCTTTTGCTGGGACAACTCGACGAGAGGTCTTGACGCCAGCACAGCACTCGAGTGGATCAAAGCAATCAGGGTCATGACCGACGTGCTCGGGCTCACTACGATTATTACACTCTATCAGGCGGGCAACGGCATCTACGAGCATTTTGACAAGGTCCTTGTCCTCGACGAGGGCAAGCAAATCTTTTATGGGCCACAGCAAGATGCTGTCCCGTTCATGGAAGACCTCGGCTTTATGAGGGACTCTGGTTCCAATCGAGCGGATTTCCTGACGGGCGTGACAGTTCCTACCGAGCGCCTTATTGCTCCTGGATACGAAGACAAGTTCCCACGTACCGCTGGTGAGATCCTGGCCGCATACAAACGGTCGAGCATCCAGCCCAAGATGCTGGAAGAGTGTCAAAGCTACCCAGTAAGCGAGGAAGCCGCGGAGAACACGGCTGTCTTCAAGGAAATGGTCTCTCGTGAGAAGCACAGGGGTGTGTCTGAGACGTCGCCCGTCACCACTGGTTTGATTACCCAAGTGAAGGCCGCCGTTGTCAGACAGTATCAGCTTATGTGGGGCGACAAGGCGACGATCTTCATGAAGCAAGGCGCCACACTCATCCAGGCTCTCCTCGGCGGTTCTCTCTTCTACTCTGCTCCTGATAATTCCATCGGTCTTTTTCTTAAGGGCGGTGCCCTCTTCTTCTCCATACTTTACAACGCACTCATCGCCCTATCCGAAGTGACCGACTCTTTCACTGGCAGGCCCATTCTAGCTAAGCACCGCTCCTTCGCATTGTATCACCCAGCGGCTATCTGCATCGCCCAAATCGCCGCAGACTTACCCATACTATTATTCCAAGTAACGCACTTCGGCCTTGTCCTCTACTTCATGGTCGGTTTGAAGGCCACAGCTGGGGCTTTTTTCACTTACTTGGCCACTAACTTCATGACTGCCTTGGCGATGACGAGTTTCTTCCGCTTCGTCGGCGCCGCATTCCCTACGTTCGACGCTGCGACCAAAGTCTCGGGTCTTTCAATTGTGGCCTTATTTGTCTACATGGGCTACATGATTATCAAGCCCCAGATGCATCCGTGGTTGAGTTGGATCTTTTGGATCAACCCCATGGCCTATGGATTCGAAGCTCTGCTTGGAAACGAATTTCATGGACAGGAAATACCCTGTTACGGTCCTAACCTTATTCCAAATGGCCCTGGCTACATTGACGGCGGGGGTGGGCAATCATGTGCTGGTGTTATCGGCGCAGCCCCTGGCACGACGAGTTTTACAGGCGATGCATACCTCGCAGCCATGTCCTTTAGCCATGGCCATATCTGGCGCAACTTCGGCATAAACTGCGCCTGGTGGTTGCTCTTCGTTGCGCTCACCATATTTTTCACTTCCAGGTGGAAGTTGCTGGGAGAAGGTGGCCGCAAACTCCTTATTCCTCGGGAGCAACAGCACAGGTCCAAGCATCTCCTGCAGTCGGGAGACGAGGAAGCGCAAGCTACAGAGAAGTCCTCAGTCAACCCCGGGTCTGATGCATCGGGCGGCAACCCTGGGAATGGCCTCCTCCGCAACCGGAGCATATTCACCTGGAAAAACTTGACATATACGGTCAAAACCTCTGAGGGTGACCGGGTTCTTCTTAATAATGTACAGGGTTATGTAAAACCAGGCATGCTTGGGGCGTTAATGGGTTCCTCTGGTGCTGGAAAGACGACTCTTCTTGACGTCCTCGCACAACGAAAAACGTCGGGTACTATCCATGGATCTGTCTTAGTTGATGGACGCCCTCTCCCCATTTCCTTCCAACGCTCGGCTGGCTATGTCGAACAGTTAGATGTCCACGAGCCTTTGGCGACCGTTCGCGAGGCTCTGGAATTCTCGGCCCTCCTGCGGCAATCTCGTGATACACCCACCGAAGAAAAGTTGCGATATGTGGAAACCATCATCGACCTTTTGGAACTACATGACCTCGAACACACTCTTGTTGGTCGCCCAGGGAGCGGTCTCTCAGTGGAACAGCGTAAGCGTCTTACTATTGCCGTGGAGCTTGTCGCAAAGCCGAGTATCCTGTAAGTTGTGACCTCCGGCAAATTACTGTGGCTTCTGGCAACTTACTAACGCTGCGGGGACAGCATTTTTCTGGATGAACCGACCTCGGGGCTCGACGGCCAGGCCGCCTACAATACTGTTCGTTTCCTTCGCAAGCTTACAGAAGCCGGACAAGCCGTCTTGGTCACTATCCATCAGCCATCCGCTCAACTGTTTGCGCAGTTCGACAAACTACTATTGCTGGCTGCGGGCGGAAAAACCGTATATTTTGGAGATATTGGCCAGAATGCGAATACCGTTAAGGAATACTTCGGCCGCTATGGAGCCCCTTGCCCACCTGAGGCTAATCCAGCAGAACATATGATTGATGTGGTGACGGGGATAGGAGGTGATAGTCAAGATTGGAACCAGATCTGGCTGCAGTCTCCGGAACATGACAAACTGTCCAAGGAACTAGATGCCATGATTGAAGACGCTGTCGCTCAGCCCCCAGCCGTCAATGATGACGGACATGAATTTGCTGCTTCACTGTGGACGCAAACAAAGCTTGTGACACACCGCATGAACATCTCACTCTTCAGAAATATTGAATACCTTGATAACAAATTTGCGATGCATATCAGCCTAGCGCTATTGAACGGCTTTACCTTCTGGATGATCGGAGATGCCCTTACAGATCTGCAGCAGAACCTATTCACCGTCTTCAACTTTATTTTTGTTGCGCCTGGTGTCATTTCCCAGCTCCAGCCTCTCTTCATAGACCGTCGCGATATCTATGAGGCGCGGGAGAAGAAGAGCAAGATGTACCACTGGGCTCCCTTTGTTACCGGCCTCATCCTCTCAGAATTTCCCTACTTGCTTGTTTGCGCATTGCTGTATTATGTCTGCTGGTACTTCACTTGCGGCCTTCCAACCTCACCAGACCACGCTGGCAGTGTCTTCTTTGTTGTGGTAAGCCTACACCCATTTTCCCACTTCCTTTACCTTATGGATACAACAGCTTACAGTTTTCCCAGGTCATGTACGAGTGTCTTTACACTGGTATTGGACAAATGATTGCTGCGTATACACCCAACGCCGTCTTCGCATCACTCGTCAATCCTCTGGTCATCACTACTCTTGTCTCATTCTGCGGCGTTATGATTCCATACAGCCAAATCGTGCCGTTCTGGCGATATTGGTAAGCTGATTTTGCATATTATTTGACCAGTCTAGTTCTGAGAACTTTCTAACTGCCGTCATCTACAGGATGTACTATATCGACCCCTTCAACTACCTTATGAGTTCCTTGCTGTTCTTCACGACCTGGGACAAACCAGTTCAGTGTAAGTCCGAGGAACTGGCTGTATTTGCCCCGGCTCCAAACCAGACTTGTGGCGAATACCTTGAGATCTACCTCCACGGCATGGGGGTGGGCGCGAATCTTCTCAACCCAGACGACGCCACTGACTGTCGTGTGTGCCAATACACCGAAGGTAGCGATTACCTCCGCACACTGAACCTAGCAGAAGAATCTTACGGATGGAGGAACGCGGGCATTGTTGTTGTCTTTGTGATTGGTATCTACGGGCTAGTGTTCCTCATGATGAAACTGAGGACCAAAGCCACCAAGAAGGCTGAGTCCTAGAGGGGCGGCCTCAGAATAGGAAGCGTTTTGATAGTCTTCCACTTCTACAACCTTCGGCATCCCTTTCCAATCTTCTGCTCTCCATTTTTCACCCTTTTCGGCAAGTTTATTTTCAAATCACTTTTATAAGTATGCCAGCAGTACGATCTATCCGTTATACTGAATGCGACTGGAGGAGGATAGTCTTGCTTTCTTTTACCTCTTCCTTAGTTGCAAATACTTTGTTTAATAGACATATTTCATATTTAGATGGTCTAGATAATAGGCTATCTGGTGATATTAATATTTTTAGAGAAATCCGAGAAATTAGCGATTACTAAGCAAAACGGTGAGGTTTGGTTAATCTAATCTAATAAAACCTCAAACATCGAAACCAATGGTTTTAAGTGAACTCAAATTAGTTCTACCCTAGGGAAACCGAAACTGAAGCGATTCCCTAGGCTAGGGACCGAACCCAAACCGCTGTGTGTTCAGTGAGGGTCAGATTCGATTTTAGCGGTTCGGTTATGCAACTCTAATAAAAATATTAATCTTATATAAGCATGTCTGATAGGTGCCTAATATTGGAGAAATTGAATTCTGAAAACCATTAAAATTAATCCGTTCAGCTTATATAAAATAAAGCTAAACTAAACTGAATCTAACCATAGTTAGTTAGTAGTAGCCTTGCTAGGCCTATCTAGGCCCGAACAGATCAGGTTTGGTTCTATTTTCTAAAATCTGACTCGAAATCACAGCGGTTTGGTTCCAACTGGGGTTGGACTCGCCCAAACTCCGACTGAATTCTGAATGCAACTCTACTGGACAGACAGTTAAGGCAACTGATTTACCTTTAACAGCAAGCAATATTACTCTGGAGGGCGGCCAGCCAGAGCTGTCCATCATGTTTCTAACTCAGCTATATGAGACACTGTCATGCGCGTACTCAGTTATCTGATGGTATATAGCGTGCTGCAAGTAGACATATCTGAACTCTTATGTTAATGCCACTCTTATGCTTCTGCCAACATCTGCTCTTCATCTCATTGATACTCCGCGTACTGGACACCGGAGGCTTGACTACGCTCATACTCTGGTCTTCCCTGAAGTATTGTGCCCCCTTCTAGCTTTGTTTAAAGTTCGTGTACCAGCACTGTGGTCTTCAGTCTCAATTTCTATTTTTATTTTTATTTTATTTTTATTTTATTTTTATTTTTATTTTTCGGCAGGCTCCTCGCTTCGAAGGCGCTGTGACTTCTGGGACCTAAGGCAGCGGCTGGTTGCGGATACGACAGGTGTTTTGGATGCGGACGACCGTTGCCCACGTCGGCTTTTGCGCTGAATCAAGGAGCTTGGCCTGGAAAGTGCTTGGAAAGTGCTTCTGTGGAATGTGGTATATTCCCCTGCTGCATTGACTTTTGTAGGTTAAATTCTTATCTGAATAGACTTTCTGGTGGGTCCGAGTGTATGTTTCGGAGCAGGCCCACAAACATTGATTATGCTTGAACCATCAACGTTACATCGCTGACACCCGATGGCGCACGTAGTAGTATTACCGGAAATCAATCGAGTTTTACCTCTGGAAAGACCCTGTGTAGGATTGTCGTTCATTTGGCCGGAAACCGGCCGTGAAAGCTGGATCCTTGCTAATTTTCGTTCTTGGGATGGAACTTGTTTGGCCAGCAAGGGCGTAACAGTGGGAGACTTAATCATGCCCTAAGGTGCTCAGTACCCTGGCATAGATTGTGACCATGTAAGGGATAGCAAGTGAAATATCTGCCACCTGCGAGATTCCCTTTTCTTATTCCGCAGTCATACGGGAGAGTAATTATGGGCTAGCCGCGTTCTGACCAACACAGTCCCACCTACAGAAAGACGTTAGCTCCCACTGAAAGCCACGCTCAGCGTGTTCTAGACAGGTTCTGACCAAACCCGGTGAAGTGCGCAGCCGTTTCCTCGGCTTAGTAATACTCCTCCTGGTATGATTGCCAGACTGTACAATGGGCTCAGTGACGGGCAACTCAGATAAAGTCTATTTGAGGGTCCATGCCATCCTCGTATCCTGACAGCATAAAAATACCACATAGTGTGGGAGTCCTCTACTTCTTCCTTGATATACATGCATTGGTTATGAGACATGTCTCACTCTCGCAAAACAGCTGCTTACACAGAATGGCATCATGTGAATCTACAACCTCACATAGGATGCCTGCTGTGGTAGTCGTGCCTTCTCCGCAGTGCGATTTAACCTTAACAGAAACGCTCTCTAACCGCATGCATCTACGTTGATGTAACCGTTTCCTGGCTGCTCAAGCTTAGTCTCGCCGGACCTGATCGACAGCGTCACCAGTACTACACGGTCCTGAATAGAGAGTTCATGACCAAGTCGCAACTAGCAACAGAGCAGAGCAAGCTGACTCTGCCGTGCTCCTCATTGCATGTACGCAATCATGCAGGGTCATTCTCTGCCCGCACTTAACAAGTCCTCGTGTTGCGGCCGCCTAGCGAAAGCTATGCTTTGAATTTTTCTTGAAAAAATTGTTTACCTTGGACGCAGTATGTCTACTTGTGCTCTATCTTCTCCCACCCACAGTTGCGGGTAAATTATCAGTTCATATGCAATCTGCATGATATGTGAGCGCTTAGGCATCCTACCAGTCTCAGTGCTACACTACGATACGAGGGATTAAGGTGAAAATCCCTGTAATTATGTTCCGATGTGGATGGTTATTTTGACTCTTTAGCTAGCTCCAAGGTATCTGGGGTCATTCAAAGGTACAATCAAACGACTTTCTATCCATCTGCCGGGATGAGGAACCGCAAGTGAAGTGGAATGAGGATGAACTATTTGAATTATGAAACTCGTTTGGTTTTATGGAGGGTTATGGCTGCAAGGGGCAAACACTATACTTCTTGCGCTTCCAATCCTTGCTGTGTTAAGAGGATCTCTGTAGGTCGCGTTGCTTTATCTCTCGGTAATAGGCAGTGACTCATTGCATTCTTGATGATTTGTACATGATCTCTGAATGCTACCAAGTATCGGTATTGTTCAAAACTCAATGGGCAATCTTTCACAATGTACTGTCATCCCCAACCGAGTTCAAGCAGAATGGTAATGGCAATGTCAGAAAGTCCAGACACCCTTGTGCCTCGATCGACGGCCTTCACTGGACCTCTGTCCGTCGGACTCGGACAGTAGCAGTCGGTGGTACAATTACATGCTCACCCATAACGAAGTTTTCAGGTCTTTTTTCGAGTGGTTCAATATCATAGTTTAAAATGACATAGACGATTATCATCTTGACCAGATGGACACCAAAATGCCGGCCCGGGCTGAGGAGCATGATAGGTAAGTAAGCGATTCGAAAACTCATTCGATCATTTCAGAGAGAACAACTCACCACGCATGACGCCCTGTACCAAATGTCATAAACGTCGAGGCAGTTGCTACCCGATTAATCTCCTGCTTGGACATGACAGTGCCATCTTCACTTGTCTGCCCTTTGACGAATCGGAATGGCTTGTATTGCTGTCCTTCAGCATAGAATCTCTCGTCCATGTGGATATCCAGCGTGGACCCGGCAACCCACATTCCCCGTGGCAGGTGTTGGCCCGAGGGCATGGTGATACCAGATGGATGGATGATCTCCCGGTTAGATCCATGCAATACCACTGGCGACAGGCGTAATGTCTCCCGGATAGCACTATCTGTGTAATGGAGCTTGTTGAAAGATGATGGCTCCACCCATTCCTTCTCTGAAGTGAGAACTTTTTTGGCCTCTTGTCGAAGTTGCTGATATAGTCCTATTTCTGGCGGAGTGCTGGCAATATCTAAGATTGCAGCGGAGGAACTAGGAACAGTGGTCATGTATGGGAACAGGGTCCACTCGTTTATCAGTCAAGATTCGAACTGACAAAAAAGGAGGGCTTACAAAGATCAGGATCATCAGGTGGAGCCGTTCCTCATCGACATTTTCACACCCATAAACTCTGCGAGCTACTCGAATGAACGAGGTTACTGCGTTATAGGGGACCCTGGAATCCTTTTCAGGGACCTGCTCTCTTTCCTCCTGTCTAATCTGGGCCAGCCACTCCTTGACGAGTGGCGTTGTGGTAGCTAAGACTCTCTTTCGAAGAAAGTGCAAGGGGACGCTTAAGCAGGCGCCAAGCAGCGGCTGTAAGAACCAAGGGATTAATTGACCGCATAATATCATGGCGCCCCCATGGAAGTTGAATAACGTGGCAAAAGACCGCATGAGGGCGTCATCATGACACAGCGGTGAGCCCCATGAGACCCGGCTGGCCACACGGAGTACGACTTTCTGCATCACTTCCATGAGGCAGACAGGCTTCCAGTTGTAGCAATCCTTGCCAAATTCCTTATCAATATTTTGACGGACCTCGTCCGCAAGAGCAGACTGGATCTGGCCTATATTCTGAGTGTGGAACTGGCTGATTACCAGGCTGGCAATCTTCCGGTCCGCTGGAGTAAAAGTCGTACCAAAGACATGCTTAAAGCCTATGCTTTCCTCCAGGGCTTCCTGGAAAGATAGGATACTGTCAGGTTGCCGGACCAGCCATTCCAAATCCTTTGCTGGCAAGATGGCTTGAGGACGGAGGTTGGCATTGCAATAAATAAAGAGCTGATCATACTGATTGAACTATTCTCATAATTAGATAACGAACAGCTTGTGTAAGAGCAATGTCTTTACCTTCTTATATCCCTCTGAGAGATTCAGTCGTCCCGAAAGCCAGCCTCGGAAGTAGGCCTTAAGCCCACAGAAAATCTTTCTTCCTCCAACGCGGGTATCCCCTTGGGGAATGAAGGGGGAATCTTCCAGTGCCCAAAAACGACGGCGATGAGGAGGGGGAATACAGCGCTGAGAACCAGAGCGATAGGTAGACTTGGATAAGTAGAAACCAAGTGCAGCTGCATCATCGTGAATCTGCGAGAGCGTTATGGTACTGATGCTGGGCGTAGAACGTCTTAGGGACCGAATATCTCAACTCTGACGGCTACATCTGGAAGATAACCAACCGACATCTATAAGCAAGAACAGTGCCGCATTGTTATGGTTGATAACTGCCAAGGACAGTCGTACAAAAAGGTTGCAACGGGACGTGGTCTTCTGACAACCACCAAAATATCTATTAATTACTCCCATGGTCACTGTATCTATGGTTTGGAGCCCAGACAGGGTTACATTCCAGGTCACCCAGACTGGGATAGACTTATTAGCTGGAAAATAGCGATACCGGTTTTCGATTCCAGAGCTGTCTCCAGATAGCTCCACTATTCTGCATCTATAGACTAACCGTACGTAAGGGTTATTGATGACGGGGCCAATATGCCATTCCTTGCATGTTTTGCGGACGGTAACGGGTGATGCAACATATCGGCTGCATTCGGAAGGGCAAACCCTTGGACGCTTGCCATAGAGTATAGGTATATCAGGCCTGGTGCTTGCGCCTCTTACTTCGTTCCTGAAACAGTTACGGTCTATGTCAAACTGGCCGCATACGAGACTCACCTGCGGGAAGCAGTTTCAGTCATGACAGTCCCAAAAACTACCGTTGCGGAAAACGTCGCCTCGCAGGATGAGAGTGCAGCAACTCTTCTGCCCGATGTGCAACAATCCCTGCAAAAAGCAGCAGCGTACTCCTGCCAGGTGGTGCGCGAAGATGGCCATTGGTGTGCAGAAGTGGAATCCAATGCCACCTGCACAGCGCAATATGTCTTCCTTCTTCATACCTTGGGTTTGCAAGATCGATTGGACCGAGAGGCCCTGATCTTATGGATTCTGTCCCAGCAGCAGAAAGACGGCTCTTGGAGCCTGGCAAACGACTATGATGGTGATATCTCCACCACCACTGAGTCATATTTGGCGTTGAAGCTACTTGGTCTTTCTCCCAACCACCCTGCCATGGGCAATGCACGAAGCTTTGCTCTCTCTGCTGGGGGCGTGGCCCGTGTGCGCATGTTAACCCGAATCTACTTGGCCATGTTCGGTCTGTTTCCTTGGACAGCCGTGCCTGAATTGCCTCCAGAGTTCATTCTTGCTCCCGCCAGTGCATCCGTCAACATCTATCGGATGTCATCGTGGGCTCGGGGATTATTACCCCTTTGTTGATTGTTCGCCATCATCAACCAATTTATGCGCTTCCAAATGGAGCCTCTGCGTCCAACGACTACCTGGATGAACTGTGGTGCGATCCCACCGATAAAAACGCGTCGTATGCTCCTGCAGATTGGGACATGACCAAAGTCGGTTTCTGGGTCTTTGACTACTCGCTTCATCTGTTTGGGGGTCTTATTCGTCGTTCCCCCTTGAGACGATACGCCAGACGCAAGTGCGTTCGCTGGATTCTGGAGCATCAGGAAGATGAGGGAGACTGGGGCGGGAATTATCCGGCCATGGCCAACAGTATCATGGCGCTGCGACTAGAAGGATTCGACGTATCATCTTCTCCTATCCAGCTAGGGCTTGCAGCGCTTGAGCGGTCCTCTTGGCGGGATAAGCGGGGCCTGCGCCTGCAGGCTAGTGTCTCCCCGATATGGGATACTGCGTTGATGACCGTCGGCCTGTGTGATGCCGGCGTGCAGGCTGACAGTGAGCTTCTCACAAACGCCATGAACTGGGTCAAGCACCGCCAGATCCTCAAGACAGATGGTGACTGGAAAGTGTACCGGCCTCACCTCGCCCCAGGAGGCTTTTGCTTCCAGTATTTCAACCGATTGTGCCCTGACCTGGACGACACGGCGGCGGTCATTCTGGGAATTCTGAAGCAGGACCGCCTTGCTGTGACTTCGACGTCGGTCATCCGGGCGACAGAGTTTCTGCTAGGACTCCAAAACAGCGATGGAGGCTGGGGCGCCTACGAGGCTGATAACAACTGCTTGCTGATGAACAAAGTCCCATTTGGCGACATGAATAATCTGGCGGATCCCACTACGGCCGACCTCACCGGTAGAGTTCTGGAGGCATTTGGTCTCATCCTGGAAATCCGTCGGTCTCGAGACATAGTATCTGATCCTCTCTTGGACCAGATTCGTCGCTCATCGGAGCGAGCGATTACTTGGCTAGCCCACGAGCAGGAAACCACCGGAGCGTGGTTTGGCCGCTGGGGAGTCAACTACATCTACGGGACGAGCAATGTGCTCTGCGGTCTCATGAGATTCGCAGTGGATGATCGACGCATTCAAATGATGGTTCCCCGCGCTCTTTCCTGGTTGGAATCTGTCCAGAACCCGGATGGGGGTTGGGGAGAGTCGGTCCGTTCCTATAGCGACAGCACCTATGCAGGCATTGGTCCGTCGACCGCATCACAAACCGCTTGGGCTTTGATGGGAATGCTTGCCTTTCTGCCTCCATCCGATCCCGCAATCATGCGTGGTGTTCGCTACTTGCTGGACACGCAGACCAGGGCCAAGGGGCCTGGATTGTCTTGGAGGGAGCATTTGTCCACGGGTGTTGGATTTCCCAACTGGTTCTACATGAAATACAACTTCTACCCGCACTACTTTCCTTTGATGGCGCTCGGACGGTGGGCTCGGGCCATGGGCTGCGACAAGTTGGAGGGCTGGTAATCTATCTTAATCTGTATTTCATTTAAGCTTTCTGTTTTCGTCCGTATAATTCTTGTGGTTCCATTGAAAAAAGAGACAGATAGGTTTCCTTCCATGCAAAGACGTTACTAACAAACAAACAGAACTATGTTTCCAAACGTTTCTTTCTGTATGCAGTAAATGGCAGAACGCTTCCCGCAAGAAGGATATTCCAGATCCTGGGAAATGACTCATTTGACGTCTGAGGGTTACTTATCATCCGGAATAACGGGGGATATAACTTGATATATGGCAATACGAAGGCAAAATATGCAGTCTGACGCGCTGCTAATAAGAAATTAGTACCTGGGCCTGCCAACCAGGCTCGGGCCTCAGCCATCTAAGGTCAATAATATCTTGGGTGATGGGGATACTGGAATGGTGATAAGTACGATGCTAGGAGACCGTTAGTCAATATTATGTCTTAATCAATCAATCTATATGAGCTTAATGATATGGCTAGTACTTACTGGCAGTCTTATTGTCCATTTGAGTCCTTAGGGTTATGGCTTCATCAACTTGGCCATTCAGCAAGGCGCCAACGTGGTTCCCATTCTCGGATTCGGGGAGAATGATCATTACAAACAGGTGGATGCACATTCCAACCTGTTTCTCAAAGACGCAGATGAAAGCTAACGCAGGGCTATTGCTATCTGCCGTAGGGTCCCATGCATCTGACACGACGCAACAATATAACGATGTAACTGTTTTGCTACGCTGAGAATAATACCAATAAGCCAAAAGCGCATTTAGATGACAAAGACAGAATTAACTAATAAGTATAGATTAATAGATAAACTCAATGGGCCCTAGTCTCAATCAGAGAGTCTACGGATAGCGCTCAATGTATCTCAATAGTTTTATTCCATCTCCTAAGGGATCAGAATTCTTATGCATTTACTCCATCCGCATGACAACTAGAATAACTTTCGTCTTATAGCATAGGACCTACATCGATGGTGCTAACACAGCAATTAAGAAAAACTACCGGGTGGGTATTGGGAGGACAGGTGAGCTGGTTGATGCAGTCCAATGGTGTACATGAGCTAGACGCTCAGTAGGTGGTTCACAAAATAAAGTTAGTCACAGCTGGACTCCCAGTAGCTTATGTACATAGTACGCCAAGTGACAGAACCCCATCGTGTAATAGCAGCCCTGTAATATCCAATGAGGCCTGTCCTGAGAGACCTGAGCGATCCACACGTTATGGATTCAACAGAATCCCACCGGAACAGCGCGAATCTCTTTCCCCAAGAGTCACCTCTGCTTCTGAGGCGCTCACTTGCAGCTGGCTGTCCTCGTAGGTATGGGCCACTGGATCTACCTGCCTTTTAGCAGCTGGCGCAAGGTTCAAATATAATGGAAAAATGGCCCCGGTGCTGAAGATAGCGACAAGGACGCTGTAGGAGTACGACACCCCATAAGACGTGGACACCGCACGCTGCACAAAAGGCAAAAACGCCCCACCGCCGATGGCAGACGCCAAAAGAGAGGCTGCTGTCTTTGTGTGTTTTCCCATACCACGAAGACATATGGCAAACAGAGTGCTGAAGGCACCACTTTCAAATAGGTAGATGAGCAGGCCCATGGCCACCGCTGTCAAACCAGACGTCTTGAGGCAAAGCGTGGAGAAAATCACCATACCAGCGTATGCTATCATCAAGACCCACCGAGGATTCAGGAACCACAGTGCCAAGGCGGTCAGAAAACGGCCAACAGCAAACACTGTGTGACCAATTGTTACGTAGTCAAAGGCCGTAAGGTTCGAACTGTCATGAAGAAGAATCAGTTAATCATAAGAGAAGAAGATAGTCTTGATTTCTTACCGGAGATTAGACGCCGTCACCAAAGACTCAAAGCTGGTTGCTAGAACCTCTTGGCCGGCTACATAGAGGTATAGTGAGCCAACACCCAAGGACAAAGTCAGCCAGATGACTGGAACCCCCAGCATTTTGCTAGATCCGTCTCCTCGACAGCGGATGGCGATCTGCTCAAGATCGTCGTCAGGGGCTTCCGGAATAGGTAGATAGTATAGCGCTGCAGCTAAAAGTAGGTCGAAAAATGCGATACTGAGATACGTCCACTGCGCATTGATTAGAGCTGAAACATTTGTCACGTTCTTGAAAAGGACTTCCTCGGAGAGTAGTGGCGAAACGACTGATGCTATCGCCTGAATGCCCTGCGAGATATTCAAGCGAATTTCGGCGTTCTCCTGTGGGCCGCATAAGGCGATGAAGGAATTGGCTGCCGTCTCCAAGACCCCCAGTCCGCTACCGACGATGAAATTAGAGACGATGAAAGCAGGAAAAGATGACAGAACGGCAGACGGCCAGAATATCAATGTCCCACAGGCATAAACAGATAAGCCTGTAATTAGTGTAGCCTTGTATCCCCATCCCTTCAAAACCCAGCGACCCAGCGTTACTGGGCTAACGAGGTAGCCACTGAAGTATGCAGCATGGATGCCGAGGGACTCCCATGTATCGAGCCCGAGAACAGCCTGAAGATGGTTACTCAAGTTACCGAGAAGGCCATATGAGAATCCCCAGAGCCAGAAAACAAGCGTGACCAAGGCTATAGGTGCCAGGGATTCTCTATTATTGAGCTTGAGCATGTTCTTTGGTCTCTTCAAGCGTAGAAACTCCACAAAAGCGACGCCGGGTTGGAACTCCGCAGATTGGACTCCACTTAATGCAAGGTCTGACAACGAACCATTAGGACGAAAATCTATGTTACGTGCCTAGTTGGATATAGATACTTCCCTGTAACTCCTGCGGAAGAGCCTAAGCGTGGCTTGCTTCTTCGGCGCTCTGAATGCATCTGGGCACCGCGATCTGCACTGTCATCATCCACATCCTCATCTGAGGAGCCGGGGTGATCACACCGCGATCCAGAATGGTTTACCGGGTCGATAGCGGATAAGGAAATATTCGTAGACGGACCAATGCCTTGTATCTCGCGAGGAGGGTTTCCTGCACCGGCCGTCCTCCCGTGCCTCTTGCCGCTGACGCCGATCATCCGCGGCATGATGCGAGCAATGAGCGGCTTAAGGAGTGGAACATTAGTGCAAATGACAGACATATTGACCTCTACTACAGACCACATGAATGACAATGCAGCGGAAGCTAGTGTATAAGAGGTCAGCATGATGTGTCGTGACAGAGGGGTGGCATAGGTCGTACATGAAATGCTGATCAGAGAGCCACTATGGATAGGCCTCGACTGAGATGTCAGCCGGGTCTCTGTCACAGCCTCCTGGAGGTACGCAATGCGAATCACGTCGACGACTGTCACAAAAAAGCCGAACCCGAACGTGATTATCAGGATGTATTTCTGCCTCCGCGGCAGGTGCATCTTGGTCAAAATAGGCATCGGGAGGAAGAGGATAGCAATATCAGTGATTATATTCACTGGTGCGCTGGACAAATAGAGTGTGATCACACTGGTACAGGACGCCGTTGCCGGCAGCGTTGGCAGCAGGACGGAACCCACGGGACGACACTGGAAGATAGTGAGGAATGTCAAGGCGAGGCCAGATACATTAACTACAAAGAGAGTCAGGTAGGTTCCCAGTCGAAAAAGCTTTTCACCTCTGGCGAATGTCAGATAAAAAACAAGGATCGACGTCTTTACTGTCATTAAAGCTGGGTTCTAACGAGGATAAGAATGGGTCATTTTGGAGTTTAGCATCACTGGGGCTGGCAGCAGACTCACATAAAGAACAGTGAATGTAAAGGTAGCGCGAGTGATACTACCTCGATTCTCTGGCTTTATATCGGCCGCAGGAAGTCCGAGGCCCTTAGCTGTTGCGTAGAATAAGGAGAATGAGAAGGCAAAATCGATGCTCTGTGAAACATCAGTCCACGTATTTAGACCACGAATGAGATCCACAAGGTACCCAGGCCAGAAGACTCCAGTAATCGTGGTGCCGAAACTTCTTCACTATCATGATTTTGGAGTAGAAGCGAAGGGCGACGAAGGTGGTCGCCAGGGCAAAAATGGTAGCGGAAACCACCAACACCGCCAGCCTTGGTTCTTTTAACATGATCAAAGACAGATTTTGGCGATGGCTTCATTGTGCTAACTAGCATCCCATGAATGCGCAGTATTCCTTGGTAATACACAGAGCAACTAATGTTATGGTCGAATGTTTGACATCAACTATCTTCCGGGAGCCTTTCAAATGCAGGAAGATATGTATCAACGCATCTCTGAAGCTTAGCCGGTGACGACAGCAAAAACCGGGCTTAATTTTTGTTTGCAGAGCTTTGCACATGCTGACATGGCCCCTTATTCATTTTTCTGGAGCTACTAGTGGTTGGCGTGGGTTTGGGTAGCTTTCGCACAGGTGACCTGACCGGCATAGATGACGTCGCCACTACGAAACCGTCACCTTCCCGAGCCTCTCTACAGACACGGCGCCCCCTCGGTTTTTGACACACCATTAAAGTGATACGCAGTTACTGTTCTTAACAGACCTTCATTCTGGTAAGCCATGGCGAGCCAGTACGCCACTTAAATGAGAACAAGCTGGATCAGCTGACGACGAGTATACAACATTAGGTTGGAGAAAACCGGGCTCTTTGTCCTCTACCTGAAATGCTATAGCTTAGCGTGGGCCAGTCTCTTCTTTCTGGTGCCCATTTAAATAGATTTGTAGCCAACCACCGCCAACGTTCGTCGTCAACATTGAGGCATATCCACCGGTCTCCAGCATCTCTCATCACGTCAGGGTGCCTTGCAGCATTCGAAGTCATTCCCCGTGCCTTAGGGGCCGAAATAGGTAGGTGCTATGGCGGACATAATATATATTCTGACATTAGTCTGAAATACATGGAAATAGTCATCACGTTCCTTTGTATCGCACCAGTCTGTGGGTATGACACTTGGTTGTTTTGGGATTCCATTAGGTCAACTAGGCTCGGTCTTGATGAGGGCCTCGCCGTAACTGCTGCAGCGCTCTAGATCTCTCCTTGAAGGGGCCCAGGCCATGGAGATTCGACGCGGTCTCGCCTTCCACTTGCAACATGCAGACATGGTTCAGGGCAACTCAACTTGAGATCATGACTTGTTCCCAGCTCGTTAGGAGTTGATTTGGTCCACCTGCTGGCTCGCCGACGCACAACGATATAACCAGAGACGTACGCATAGGGATGCAAGCCGCTAGAATACTAAGGTACTGCCAACTCTAACTCAGACAGTCAGACAGCGTATCTCACGTATAATCAGCTCTAGACGCCAGCGCCGCTAAATGGACAGGCTTGATAATAGCAACCACCGTCGCGATACTAGATTGTTCGTTCATCAGACCACAGCATTCTGGCACAGCATAGAGGGAACAGATCCTGGTAATGATGACACATGAATCATTTAGGAGCCTCGGAGAAGTGCGTGCCAGTGCTTGAAGCCGCCTAAACTTTCAAGCTGAGCTCGATGCACGGGATAGTCCCCAAAGGTAGGCTCAGGTCCAAGAGCCAAGTCATTACTGTACACGCTGGAGAGGTCCTTCACCAGACAAGACATACAGACATCATCAGACTGAGCATGTGATAATGGCAGACTGAATACCGACTCCGAATATGGCCCTAGAGCCATTGTCACCTGGATTCGCGTTGTTAAGTATAGTATTCTGGCCGAAGATATTCGTTGATACAGCATCTCTACCGCTGCAACGAAGTCGGCGTCGTTACAAGAAACATCATTGATCTGTATTTAAATACTGCACAGGATAACCTGCAGGATGGTGTCCTGGAAGGGCAAGACGATAGTGTGTAAAAGGCTGTGCTTCTGAACGACGGATTCTGGGGACGCCTTTGCACAAGGACGGTCCAGGAGACCAAAAAGGTGACTACAGGGACCCATTGGCTTTTCGACAACCAGAGAGACAGAAATACGCCCGGTCCGACCCCACGGCGGACAAGTTCTGTCGCCAGAATAGTCGTGTAACTGTCACGCCCGGCGTAGTTCTTTATTCCATCCCAGGCGCAGATCGCTGGAGCATAGGGCTTCTTGGCTATTTGTGATTCAATGATCATGTGAACACATTTGCTGGATTCTAAGGGCACGGCCGCACTTCATAGAGCGATTTGGTTCCCACTCTGATCGGCAAGCAAATTAATCTCATCGACCGTTTGTGTAGGATCGCGAAAAATCCCCTCAAAGCATGCCAAAAACTCTGTGCTAAGGCTTCATCTTGGTCGTGGCGGAAGACAGTGATCCAGTAGGAGAGCATGAGACTGACACTTTCTGCTCCCATAGAGACATTCATGGCGAGATGATACTGTAGTAGAAGCAGCCGCGTCAGCATCGACTTTGATGGTAGGTTTCCATGATGACCTTCTGTAAGTCAGTTATATCAGTGCCATCACGTAACCTAACTTAGCTTCCTATCATGGTTTTACGATGTCCCTGCTTGATCCTTCTGATATCATGTATGGCAACCGTAAAAAGAAAAGCTAGTACTTCAATTTTACTCGGCTCTGGATATCCTTGCTTTGTACTCATTGAAACTTGTTGTGATTCAGATGAAGGTTAATTCTTATTATTCTCAACTCAAAACTTGAGTGTTTGTATACAATACGAACATCAGCGGGATTGGAAATCAATCCGCTTCTAAACAGAACCGTATACGAAGTTCTAATGTCTACTTGATAGAGCCTCGATCCACAACAAAACTGAGTCTCCGCATTAACTTTGCTTCTTCTGATCCTCTCGGAGGAAGTCAATCACCTTGGTCCACTTCAGCTCGGAATAACGGTCATTATCCAAGGGTTCTAGCTTTCCAACGCCAGAGAACATATTGGCCATGTATTGCATGCCCTGCCAGATTGGCATGATCTGATCTTGGCCTCCAAACAGCTTCAGAAGCCAGATGATGACGTTCATAGACCCGACGGTACCCATCCACGACGGACGAAACGACTTGCCGTCTATATGCCCCGCGATCTCACAGATGTCCTTCACGCTAACGACGTCGCCAGCGATGCGGAGGAACCGGGGTGTGGGATTGGGATCAGCCGCCACAGCGGCCGTGTACGCGGCCGTGTCTGCCACGGTGGTGAAGTCCAGTAACTGCGTCGCGCTGCCGATGTACATGACCTTTCCCTTCTTGTGATTGATCATCGGTGAGTCACCGCTGAGAAGATCCATAAAGCCGCCGTTAAGAATGCTGGTCCAGGCAATCCCAGACCGATCGAGCTGTGAGTGGAATTGGCGCCGCAGGTCCAGGTTACGGTTGGTTCCCGGCCGCGTCTTGGTGAAATCAAGGGCGAAGTCTGAAGGAATGAACCGGGGCACTTTAGCCGCTGCTGCGGCATCGAGGAGGTTGCCCTGCGCGGTCAGGATGACATCGGCTAAACCCTGCAGCGTAGAGATGACGCAGCAGGCTCCTGTGAGCTCTTTCTGGAGGGCTGGAATGTCGGATAGGTCGACGGGAACAACAGAGACACCATTCTCCTTTAGGGTTTCAGTGCGCGAGGGACTGGTGTTGGGGCGGACGAGGGCCTTGACGGGTACGCCGCGATCCTTGAGCTCCTTTGCGACAAGCTGGCCCAGCTTGCCGGTGGCGCCAGCAATCACGACAAATGACAAAGCCATTATTTTCTCTCTTTTCCTTCTTCTTCTCGCTTTTGGGGTTAGTTGTGTGGCACAAAGGGATGAAGATAATGAATTTACTTTCGAAACTCTGTAATAATTGTACCCGCACTAAGACAAGAGAGGCGCTGAGGGTCCCTTATCAGATTAGACAGAGTGAGTTATATTTCAGGGGAAGGATACTGCCAGTAAGTCATTCTGAATAGCCCAAGTTCTTGCGACAAGGCCGGAGAGAAGCATCTTCTTGCTCCGTGAAAGGAGCTGTGGCCCCATTCAAGGGCACAGCATACAAGGGCATAGCACAAACGAAGATTGCGGCTTAGAGAGGATTATTAATGGATCGGTCAATCGGTCTTTTCTCAGGCCGACCTTTTACGCTATACAGCGTGGCGTCAGGGGTTGCTTTCCCAGCAATCCCTAGGTTCATGACTAAATGAATGTTTTGACTATCTTTCTCCCCTGCTGTGCTCCACGAATGCTGGTGGGTACACTGCATGAACTTTATTACGAACTTTAGCATATCGGCTTGCACGGAGTCCCTAAATGCAAAGCCATTACTGGCCAACTCATTTTTCTCTCATGAAGGACCGGGCTTGACCTTCCTGACAACTCCGATGCGCCCAGTCTGGCAAAAAATCCAAAGTAATCCTTACTTTCATATCCCTTTCAGCCAGTAGTTAATGGTTCTGTGAGATAGGTTGTACTGCAAAATTCCACAGGTACCGCCCTCCTCATTATGTTTGAGCCTGTGCCGCTCAACTGTGACATGATTGGCGTAGGTGTGGTGAACACTAACAAGCTCCAGTTCCCCTTTTCAGATTCTATCCAAAATATCGCTTGATTTGCTGCCCAAGTGTTTACGGCATACTCTAACAGGGAAGGTGGCGACGAAAACCGGCCCTGCAGCATCACATTTAACCAAACAGCAGGTTTCAAACCTTGTCTGGCCGCTTGCATTGATTCGAATCCCTTTAGTTCTATCCATTCCGCCACAATAATAGTGATGAGTAGCTTGAGCTCCAGGAGTGTTAGCTAGTTGCCGGTCACGAAGCAGGCTTGGGAATACAAGTGTGACAGCTTTTGGGGACCACGAATTGTATTACTACACCCAAGCTTTAGGTATGCCCTGGGAAGATTATGGGCCATAAACGCATTTCTGGAAACATACGGCTATTGGGTTGCGATCCTCTTCACACCGCGGAACTAATGTTTGAACTCCAGCGGCAAATTCTCACGGGCGATGGCCATACCCAAAATACGATATCGAGCGCCTAAGGCAGCTATGCATCGATGTTGGCGGGCCTCTGGTTTTTCCTGCGCCAGTGGAGGTTTTCAAGCGCAGTTTTATGGGGTCAGGTATATTGGTAATCGCCAGTCTCGGGGCTCGGGCTCAGAGCAAGCAGTGGATGGAGACCGAGGAGGGCGGGCAAATGTCCACCAGCCATGTCGAATCACATTGATGAGGACAGAAAAGACCGAATCAAATGGCAGAGTTATACAAATGCACAGCGATGGAACTCGTACATATTCCCCTTGCCCTTCTCTCTCTCGCCGAAACTCTCCCTGCAAGCATTCGTCCTTCTCCTGAAGCAAACAATAATACCAAGCACAGTTATGTCTCAACCGCTGAAACCGATTACGGTCTACGGAGGGTCATTCGGGCCTAATCCATTCAAAATATCCATAATTTTGTCAGAGCTTGATCTCCCTACCAACCCAGTCTCCATCGAATTCAGTGAACTCAAGACGCCGGCCTACGAGAGCATCAACCCGAACGGTCGCCTTCCTGCGATCCACGACCCTAATACTGGAATCACCCTCTGGGAGTCCGGAGCGATCATTGAATATCTGATTGAGACGTACGACAAAGACCGGCGGATTAGCTTTGCCCCTGGGACTGCCGAGGCGCATCAGGCCCGCCAGTGGCTGTACTTCCAAGCATCAGGACAAGGGCCATATTATGGGCAAGCAGTGTGGTTCAAACGGTACCATCCAGAGCGTGTTCAGAGCGCGCTCGATCGATATCTGAACGAGATTCGGCGGGTATCCCAGGTACTAAACCGCTGGTTGGAGACAAGCGAGTGGCTTGTTGGGGACAGGCTTTCCTATGCGGATTTGGCCTTTGTGTCCTGGCAGAATGCAGCGGAGAGTATGCTATCGGATGAAGGATTTGATGCGGCGTTATTTCCACATGTGGCGGCCTGGCTGGAGAGAATGAATACCCGAGCGACAGTCAAAGAGCTCATCAAGAAGCAGGAGAGGATGATGGCGGAGAAGCTGGCGAAGGCGACAGAGGCGCTGAAGGGATAATCATGCAGTATTGGCATCAGGCTTGGAAGATTAGTGCCTGACGAGATTGTTTTCACCTCTCCTGTAATAACACCATGGATTACTGTTGCTCTCCATCTTTTTGGAGTTTAAGGATCCCTACCAGCGGTCATCCCTTACTGGTGTTTTCTCCTCTGTGCTCCAAAGTCCTTGTCACTGGAAGCTCTGTCGCCATTATCAATTACTGCCATGGTCGCCCGACTAAATGGCCCGAGGGCGAAAGATAAGGTTCAAATCTAACGACAGAGTATGTGCAGTAAATAACCAAACAATTATGGTGTAATAATTCAGCACAATACTGGAAGTATAGTACCAGAAGCTTACCAACATGGGCGGAAAGGCTTAGTCCAACCCTCTCGAAAAGCCAGGATTTGACCAAGACGTGATCAGGAAGTAATTAATGCAACATTGGTAAGCATGCAAATGCTCCCTTACGATTCTCAACTCTTGCCATCTCTGGCCAACTCCCGCAAAACAGTAATTGTTCCCTTCACGGCCATCGTGCTCATTTTCTTCTCCGTCTCTAAAAACGCTGCAAGTTCTGTCTTGGAGGCTCCGGGGTGTCGTCGCTCAAAGGTACAGGTCACATACAGCTCTCCATCAGCGCCCTTGCTGACGAGATTGGTAATAGTGATTCTACCTGGCTGGACGAAGATCACTCAAGAAGGCTCGTTTGCTGTACCTGTTTCTCGCACTCTGCGTTTGTCTTCACAGTAAATGTCTTCGCGGACAGTGGCTGGATACCCTGTGACCAGGCCAGATTCACAGATAAGTATAGTGGACTGGATGTCCTGTCTCGGCGGAGCGATTGAGGAGTAGGCCGGCCCATATCTGCCCTCCTAGAAGGGGGCACTAGCTCCGGCGGGGTTGAGAGGGGCAGTGAAGGCGATGTTGTTTTGTAGGCATGGTGAAATTGTGTGAGTGCGCAACTGGTCTGCAAGAGGAAGATGACGATCTTTACAAGTGTCTAAATACCATGCATAAGAGTGGAGAAAAAATTATCTGGAATTGGCTCTCAGTCTCACCAGTCAGCGAAGAGCAAGGAGTGACAAACCTCGAAACTCTATTGCGAGCAATTGACCCTAATGATTGGCTCAATGTTAGATCGGCCCAGGGTATGCTTAGCTCCAAGCCACAGGCCCACAGCATCATTGTCAACAAGTCAGCCCAGCGGGTAGGCTTGGCGTTAAGAATGTAACTTTAGTTAAGGGCGCAGGGATTATATAATCTCGGCTTCACTGGCAGCACCGAGTCTCCGAGAATTACCCAATCGTTGGGTCATTATTCTTTCGAGTTCCTCTATGCAATTATCATCCACATCCTTAGTAGATAAGGCCACCCTGCCTCAAGATCCTACAAATGAGCGGACTGTGCGATATGCTAGTCAGTCAACGTACGACCTCACCCGTTACAAGCCATACAAGATGCCAAAGGCTATTGTAATTGTTGCCGGCGCAGTGCTGTCGCCCGCCGGTTTGCTGAAGCCTACCCTGTGGTTCTGCTTGCTCAGTCACAACTATCACTCAACCCATTAGTCAACGACATCACGCAGAGTGGAGGCTCTGTAATGGGTATACCTACCAATATGATAATCTCCTTGAGTATAAGTTCAGCAATAGAATAGGTCAAGATCAAGTTTAGTCCTAATCTTAGCATCGCGGCAGCAATCTACAATGTTATAAGTAGATTTATTAGAAAGGCTTTCCTAGAACAAAGCCCTGAAGCCTTCTTAGGAAGCCTTAAGCCATCTAATATGGGAGCATTTAATTTTTGTTCAGGCCACACTACCCTTAATATTGAATGAAGCTACAGGATACTATCCACCTACTCTCATTTTCACAGGTACAGCATATTTAATCTACTAATAAATCATCTCTAACTGCCTATAATAGGTGCAACAGCTGCACTCAAAGGCAGTTCTAGACTATCTGGGTTCACTATGAGGAAGTTTAGAATTTATACTCTGTCTTAGTCTCTTATACATGAATTTAGGCCTGAGGGCATTCATGTCTCCCATGCTATTATTAATGGGATTATTAATACCCAGAAAACTAAGGGTTACAGTCAAGACATTCCAGATTCAAGAATTGACCCTAAATGGGTAAGTGAGTTAGAATCTCTGGGGCAAATGGTTCTTGTATTAATCACTGATCACCAGATCGCGGAATCATACTGGTTTTTGCATACCCAGCCCACGTGTTCATTTACGCACGAAATAGACCTCAGGCCGTATTCGGAGAAGTGGTAAAAGGGGGAAATAAATGGTTACCCAGCCATTTTAATCCTTCTATCTCAGATTGTTGTTCAATGATGCAACACTACGAATGTTCACATGGTCAGAATATATAATATCTATACCTTACCTCTGCCGGTGTACGGAGAACATTGGATGGGCCCATTTTGCGCGTCCCTCGAAACCACTACCGCCAATTTAGAGCATTTACTCTGATGGAATACAAACAGCAGCTGCTACAGCACTAGGCCTAGTAGTATGAAAGTCATGCGGAGTTTTGGATCTGTCCAATATTCTGAACGCGATCAAATATTCTAAGCATACTGCACTATTGTAATAGTGAAAGTTCCAGGTGCACTGTCCTCAACCAGTCCAAGCGCCGATTGCGAGTAATGGGTCCATATGTAAACAAGCAAATGGCAACGCATGGCTGCAATGACATCTCGGACCAGGTAACGATTGTCACTTCTTGGGTGGCACTCTTACTAAAGCTTCGGGCTTCGGCCTCATCTTCGAGGCCGGTCCCGCCATCCCATTTCTTTTACTAGGCACTCATTTGCACGTCGGTCAGCTCAGTACGTCCACTCTTCGCCCCTAGGGATACCTGGGATCCTCCTGCTTACATAGTTTAGCCATTTTGGTGGCGTTCTTGGTTCCTTCCGAGCTCAGATCCCCAGAAACTTGAATTTGCAGTTCTTTGTGGCCGCGCAAATTGCATGTCCGGGAATACCCTGTCAATGGGGCTCATTAGGTCTCGAGAATTCAGAGGACTCTCCCTTACCTTCTCTCCTTTCGCTTACAATTCACAAGGTGTGGACCTACAGGCCATTTTCCCAATGCCAATTCCTATGAAAAATATCATGAAGTGTATTGGTTTTAGGGAAGTTGTAATGGGACACTCCCCTCTAGTGGAATCTTAATCTCTTAGAGCTAAGTGAACAAAATCACTCCTATAGAGACGGACGCCAGTGCCTAGGCCATTTGCTTCGCTGGGAATCAGGCGACGCGGTATACTGGAGCCCATGGGAAACCTCGATTTGCGCGGGCTATCCTTGTGTGGTCGGCTAAGTCACCGCCTTCTGCATGAACCTTTGCGACAGCACAGGAACTGACATAGCACAGATGTAGTAGTTGCTGGACAACCAATGCTTCTGTCCGCGAAAATGCCTACCAAGGGACAAATATTTTACGGGGCAGAAGCCAGAACAACAATAATAGAGGATCAGCACCTCCAGAAGAGCTGAAATGATTAAATAATGCCATCACTACTCTATGAGAGAGCAGGTATATCAGGTGCCGAAACAAGAGTGATCCTAGTCACCGTACGAACAGCTCGCTCTACAGAGATATTGCTCCATATGATTCCCTGCATTGGACATTGGCTGAGTAGTGGCAGTGCCAAAATTAACGAAAACAGACGGATAATCAGATCGAAATTGATGTTGGAGAAGTATACACGAAGCCTATACAATATGGAATAATTTAGAGAGAGACTCATGAGCGATATGAATTCAATTCAGTTTTCAACTTCAAGATCAGGATCCTTTCATGTGCGGCAGGCATCTTAAGCTCATTTCCAGGCGGAAACATTCTTCTGGACAAATTCCGCCCAGGTAGTAGGCTTAGAGTCGAGGAGCTTCAGACTAGGTTCCAGGGGCTCTCCGAGGTAGTAGCCAGGCTCCTCGACGAACAGCTGATTCTCGAGATACTCCTCCGCAACAGCAGGAGGCAAGGAGGCTTTATACTGCTCTGGAGAAACCTGTATGAAGACAGCCTTCTTGCCGGAAACCTGCGAGAAAGTGTCCACAATTTCTTCAGGGGTGTAGTACTTGGCAGCTGCCAGAATTCTCTTGTTCTTCAACTGATCCGCGTGCTTAATTGCGGCCTTTACAAAGAGACCTGGTATAGATACTTCAGTTGCTGTTCAGAGAGAGAGAATACAGTACCCTTACCTGTGTCCTGGGCAGCGTCAAACAGGGGAACTTGGCTTGCTTGCCGACAGGGTAGAAGAGCTGGTATGAACCATCCTCAGCCCGATTGAGCATCTGCTTGAAGTTGCTCATGTAGTACCCAGGAAGGACAAAGCTGCACCCCACTCCTGAAGCACGAATGTACTTCTCAACATTGGCCTTGCTATCGAAATGAGGAACATGGGTGAGTCGTCCCTTGCTCTCTTCCTTCACATGATGCAGGGAAGAGAAGATGAGGTGAGAGACACCAACAGCTTTGGATACATCAGCCACATTCTTCCCTTGGGAGTATTCAATGTCGGCATTGATGGTCTCCCAGTAGTTGGTGACCAGGAAGACGGTGTGGGTGCCCTCAAGGGCTGCAGTAAGAGAGTTGATGGAGCCTAAATCAGCCTATATAAGGTTGCCTTTATCAATGATTGCTTCTGAAAGTCTTAGTGACCAAGTAGAATCTTACAGTGACAACTTCAACGCCCCGTTTGGCCAGCTCCTGGGCTGATTTCTTGGTGGTGTCGCGGGTGACCCCCGGACCTTGAATTCTTTTGAGAGTTGGGGATCGGCGAGGATAGCATCGATGACGGAACCACCCTGGTTGCCGGTGGCACCAAAGACGGTGATCAACCTAGACATGGCGGAGCTTTAAAATGTAGTAGATTAAAATTGAAGTTGTTGATATGATGAGCAGCCGTTTTTGTGGTTTTGTGTGCTTGACTAGTTAACCCAACGCTCGAGATTTCCGGAAAGCTTTTATAATCTCAAGCCTCTTAAGTCTCAAGCTTGGTTTTGGCAAAGGCAAATGAACCACCTTGCGTAAGTCATCTGCAGCGAATGAATAAGCTCGGCGAAAGTTGTAGACCGAGTGGGTGCTTCTGTGTTGGACGGCCTCCAGTCTTAGCAGAACCACTTACGCCCCGCCCCCGCCGCTGGAGGAAGACAAGAGACAATTTGTCAGATCGGGGTGTCTGAACATCCGAGTAATTGGTAGAAATTATGAACCGGGAATTAAATGCTTGGCAGTGGGACTAGGCCAAAACTGGTGGAACCGGTCCCGTAGTCAAACTTGAGTCTAATAACCACTAATACCAATAGAGTAATAATGTCGCGATCCCTGCTTCAAAACAAAAATATGGTTTTTGGCTGTGGCTAATAGAAAATGTCGTATCCCAAAGCACACGGGGAACGCGAGCTAAGGAACGTTACTAAAGCAGATTTACCCCCCTTTTCCCTTTCACCGCAGCATTTCTGGAGTGGTAACGACGTAAGTAGCGCCTGAGCCGGACAAACCTTGACTATCCGGGCAATAACAGGGGTCTGGTTTAGAGGATTTTCATCATCATACTCCAGGTCTTCCGCACAAGGTGGACAAGAGCAGGACATACGCCTCAGTCTAGAACAATCTCTCCGACAAATCCTCGGTGATTTGCAGAAGGTCAGATAACATATCGAGACTGGTCTTGTGTATTTCTCCTTGCAGACATCATGCCATCAACACTGCCGCGGCCGCCGTACGACGTCGAGCTCGAACCGGCATTAGCTGCAACTCCGATTCCTCATACAATAACCCGGTCACAGATCCCACTTCTTCGTGGAACGAAACCCAGCGCCGGCTCAGCTCATATCAACGCGAACTTTGCTCACGAGGAGATACCACTCACTCTACCCAGCGGAGAGATTGTTCTGTCCGTCTGGCGACCTCGTTCCGCCGGTCTCGAGGCAGGAGTTGGCGTCTATTACATTCACGGGGAGGGATGATCATGGCAAATCGTTTTGCGGGCATTAGGGAGATCCTTGACTATCTTCAAGAACACAATGCTGTTTGTGTCTCCGTCGAATACCGCCTCGCGCCGGAACATGAAGATCCAGTCCCGCTCGAAGACTGCTATGCGGGACTGGTCTGGGTGGCCGAAAACGCTGCGACTCTAGGCATTGACCCGACCGCATGTTAATCGCGGGGTCTTCTGCAGGTGGAGGGCTGGCAGCGGGGGTATGTCTCCTTGCCCGAGACCGGGGCGGACTAAAGATAAGCGCTCAAATGCTGCTGGCTCCAATGCTTGACGACCGCAACGATACCGTGTCCAGCAAGCAATATGAAGAAGAGGGCACATGGAGCAGGGGAAGTAACTTGCTCGGTTAGAAATGCCTCCTTGGACAGCGGTACGGAAGCGATTCTATCAGCATCTACACTTCGCCGAGCCGGGCGGTTGACCTCTTCGGTCTGCCTATGGCCTACGTTGATGTCGGTTCTGCAGAAATCTTCCGAGACGAGGCCGTTGCCTACGCCACAAGGTTGTGGCATTGCGGCGTCCAGGCTGAGTTACACGTCTGGCCGGGGGCTTTCCATGCCTTTGATCTCTTGGCTCCCACGGCAGCGATCTTGTCAACCATCAAACCACTACGCCAAAAAGGTGTCTAGACTTCCATTTCTAGCATAGCAGAAATGATAGTGCATATTCTGGTTGATACACCCCCCCAGGTATAACGGTATAGCGGCGATGATGATAGTGTAGCAGTGATGATGGTGTAGCGGTATACCTGACCTTCGCATACCAGCGCTTCTGGGTTGGTTCAGGCAGCATTTGGCATCATTAGGCATCCAAATCTTTGTTCTGGCATAATCCTCTAGGCTATTTTTATGTGCACGGCCTAGGTCACGTGCGTATGCGCAGTCCATGCGTGAAATCACAGAAAAGTTTCCTTGCCATCTCAGAATCGAACCTGGGGGCTCAGAGGATACAGGGGCGTCTGATCTTTGCCTGCTGTGTAGGGCTTCCGGGCTCATAACTGTCAACCATCAAACCACTACGCCAAAAAGGTGTCTAGACTTCCATTTCTAGCATAGCAGAAATGATAGTGCATATTCTGGTTGATAGATCTCGATTCAGGCGAGAACAGCGAGGGGGGAGTGGATCCGTCGCGTTATATCTCGGTTAGGTGGAACTTCCTGACCTTGGCAATCCGCATGGTATCATGACGCTCCAAGACCTGATGCGCTAAGATGAGGAAACCTGCATGCTGTATACACGTATGGAATCTCAAAGATTGGTCTTAAAGCAGTATATGAATCTTGAAATGGGTGTGATCATGCCGGAAGCAGTAAAGTTCTAAAATACCTGTGTTACTGGTTTGGCCGAAATTTCGCCTGAAGTGGGACAACAGCGGTCGCAGCGTCAACAGACAGACAGAGTAGGCGGTAAGTCCTCCGCAGATTAACGATGATGTGGGTGACCGTCTACCAATCCTCGCTTTTTTCTACACGCCATGTTGATTGAAGCGCGTCAGCCACCAACAACAATAGTATAAATATCGGTGACCAGGATGTCCCTTGGCTCTTTCCAAGTACGTAGGCGTTGCGGGCCGCATGACAAGCGTCGGAAGAGTCATCGTTGTGAGAACTGTCAGCGCAGTCATATTAAAGTAGGTTCTGCAAAGTTGAAACCCAGTCTCTTGGATCATAATTGTGATAACAACTCTTAGTGTGATGGGTCTCGCCCCTGCTCCGCGTGCCGCAGTCGGACTCTCAGATGCGACGCAGTGTCATCTGTGGAGTCAAGTAGTGACTTGGCCATTGTTGTGTGCCAGCCACCGGCCACTGTCAGTCCTGGCATAGGTATGAATGTTCACCTACATGACTTCCTGGTCACCAAGTTCTATGACCTAGTTGGGACACAGTATTCACCGCTTATGGTTGGTTTTACTCGTGAGATTACTGGTTCGATCTGTGAGCAGGTGGAACCAGTCCGCAGAGCCACATGCGCACTGGGAGCGGTCATCGCAGCGGGTGAATGCTCTCATAGTGACCCGTCGCTTCAGCAGAGTTTTTTAGCGACAGCTCAGGCTACATACATCGAGTGTTGTTCATACTTGCAGCGAAAAGCATGTGATTCTTCCGCCACGGGCCGGGACAACGGCTCATTTCTCTGTGGGCTTCTGCTGAGTATCTTTCATGTTTGTTTTTCCCTCTTGTCCGGACTATGGGCGTTCCGGAAGCGCTCCGGTTTACCCGCAGTCGCAAACACACTGATGCCTCCCAGCTTATGACCGACGCATCTACTACCCGCTGGTACTTGATGATGAAGTGTACCTTACAGCGCATCGTGCAGCTGGGAGGACCAGAAAGCTTTTCCAGACCGGTAGCTCTCGCCATATTCAACCAGTACTGGGTGCTCGAATCGCTTCGGACTCTGGCATTCGATGAGGATAACGCACTTGCAGATCCAAAATGGCTGAGCCTGCTCGGCCGCGCTGAAGAGTCCAGCACTCGGAAAGTGGCTACCGAAAGAGATCACACCCGGCTGCTGCGATGTATGGCTCTTTTGGGTAGACTAAACTACCGGTATGGCCTCCGCGCGCGTAGGAAGTTTGCATCCTCTAAGCTGACACGAAAATAGTTCGCTGAGCTGGTTAGTACGGGCTCGAGCTATGCGATATAGCAATAGCCTACCCACAAATAATATTTCTAGTTTGCGAGACAGCATTCATTTGGGGGAAGGAAAAGACATCATACAAGAAGGGCATATGGTCCGCCAAGAGTTGCTAAAGCTGGCCCCGGATCTGCATACACATAACTGGATACAAGGCAGATCGCTCTACGACTTGATGATGTCGTTGTATCACTGCGGTCCCATTAGCCTCTCTCGATTATTCATCGATCCGCTGTGGAGTATTCTGGGCGAACCACTCCCCATGTTGCCGGAAGACGCGATTAGATATCATGCCATCGCAGCGCTCGAGCACTTGCAACGGAGACTACAGGTCGCAGGCATGGAGTCTGTATTCTTCCTTCCGTTACTCACCACTGTTGCCTTGGAGGTGCGGAGCCGGGTATATCGTGACAAAATATCGCGGATCTTTGATTCAGTGGAAGGAAAAGGGTTCGCAGTGGCTGCCACGGCTAGATCTGACACTCAGCTGGCCTGGGCGTTAGTTGGGAGCTCTGGGGGTGGATAAAAGACGATTATCTCAGAAAAGAGCATCAAGGATGGCAAGGGTTATGGACCATATCTGACGCTACGGTCTGATGCGTTTCCTCTATAAGACTGCAGCGACAGGTGACCTGTTACGGCCAAACTCTGCTCTTCTTGTCACTCTTGACTGCTTGCGGCCACCAATAAATGGTAAATCTACCAGCGGATATTATGCTGGATGCTTCCTTATTCATCCCACCTTTCGCAGGTTTGTTGACCAAATACCACATATTCCAATTTCTCCATGCCATCTACATGTTACTCCAGTAACCCTTTTTAGCTGTCCCTGAACTTGTCCGCCAGATAACAGACAGTGATGTTTTTTAGAGACGCGTCGTGGTTCATGATCAGGTATAGCTCACTTATATTACTTGCATATTTTCATTATTACTTAGAGATCTAGATCTTAGTACTACAATCGCTGTCCTGACAAGTACGAGATTACAATCTAGTTGTCAGCGTGAGGGATAATAATCCCGGTTTTCCCTTAGAATGTCAGTATGATTAAGACTAATGAATAAATCGATACTATCATATGTGTTATCTGCAAAGTTTAAGTATCCCACCAGAGCACAATGAGAGTTTTCACTCAGTGCCCGTTTTGATCTTAACTATTTCTCTGCAACCAGTAGAGAGCCAGGAATCACAGCTTTACTTCTCTCAGCGTCTAGTAAGATTATGTTCTAAAGCAGCCTAGTCTCCCCTATATCACTTAGAGTGGCATAACCAAACCGCTAAAATCGAATCCGACCCTCACCGAACTCGCAGTGGTTCAGGTTCAGTTCCTAACCTGGGAAATCGCAATGGTTTCGAACATAGGGTGAAACTGATCCGAGTTCAGTTAGGGTTGTTATTTTCGCGGGCTGGGCTGGGTTCTCCTATCTTCAGAACCCAACCCACCGGGTTCGGGTTGTAAAAACCTAGGACCCGAACCCAGCCTAGAACCTAGTGGGTTCTAGGTAGCAGAACCCAGCGGGTTCTATTCTACCAAGGATGTTATTCTCTGTGTAACAGATTAAGCAGTACTATGCTTTAACCTCTTATTATCATTATTTTCAGTCTTCCACTTTCAGGCCTTGGACTATTTTTATATCATCACTACAAGCATCTAGGATGTGTAGTGAAGATATATAGTATCCCCTTATCTAATATTAGAGAGGATAAGGATTAGTCTTATTATTAAGTGATCTACTATTTTCTCCTATACTATTCTGACCTAATATTCTATTATTCCTAATTCTTACCTAGTTAACAGGCTAATCTACCCTGCCCTATAGATCATCCCTTATAATTCTAATCCTTCCTTTTTAACTACCTAAGTATTAGTTATGATATCTATTATCCCTAATTTATTAGAGGCCATATTTCCTACTACTATACTAGTTAAATAATAGGAACTAGACTGGTTAAACCCAACCCGGGAACCCTAACCCAACCCAGCCCGAACCCACCATGGGCCGGGTTTGGGTTCAGGTTCTAGGGCCCGTGGGTCGGTTGGGTTCTAATTCTTAGAACCCGCTAAGGGTTGGGTTCTAAAAACGGGTTTAAATTACAATACCTAGTAATTATAATACACTAACCTAGGTTAGATTTCTATGTAGAATGCATTATTTATATACGTATATTTTGAATGCTAGTATAGATGCTAGTATGGTATAGAAAAATTAAATACATACTAACTAGATTAGGTAGGCGGAGAGTGGATTTTTCGGCAGAATAGAACCCGCCGGGTTGACTATCTAGAACCCGCCGGGTTATGGGCTGGGTTTAGGCCCTAGAAATCTAGAACCCGAACCCGGCGGGTTGGGTTCAAAAGATAGGAGAACCCGGCCCAACCCACGAAAATAACAACCCTAATAGGAACATGCTAGTAATACACTACTACTAGAGGATAGTAATTCCTCTACTTCTTCTATTTAACATAGGAAGCTAGGTAAGGATGAAATTTAATAGCTTATATAATATTACTAAACTTAAATAAATTTAGGAAACTAGGAAGAGTACTAAATCTATTAAATATAGATTAATTACCTATTAAAATAGCACCTTTTCACCTTATAAGGATAAGTAAGAGGTTAAGTTTAAAAGTTTTCCTATTTTTACCCTAAAATATTCCTTCTAAAAAAGGGAAGAATAGATTAGAGATATAGTGTAATGGAGTGGATGCAGATTAGGTTACATTATTACCTTGCATTGCACCTATATATGATATCACCTACCTATATCTACGCATCATGGCCAAAGCATCATCAAACTATTAATGAAGGTATATAGGAACATTTCCTCCTTATCTATCTAGAAGAAGACAAGGATTAGTTCTTATATGAAGGGGATTAACTAAATATACTATTCCTTTCCTCCTTATAATCATTACTAATCCTTACCTAGTTAATAGGCTATCTACCCTACTAAGTAGATCCTTATAATTTCTAATCCTTCCTCTTTAGCTACCTAAGTATCAGTTATAATACCTTTAGATACTAAATTAGTCCTGTAACATTACTAAATACCTGCCTCTACCTCCACAGGACAGAGCAGCTCCCCTACTAGAGGGAACCCTAATCTATTATAGAACTAGCCCCCTATATTAGAGGACCTTAATTATATTAAATAGGATATCTCTAAACTTAAAAGATTCTAGGAGCTCTAGAAGACCATAGCATAATTATAAGAGGAGATTAAGGAAAGGGACTAATTACTATAATTAGGCTATAACTAATTATATATCTCTTTACAGCCACCCTCTAAACCTAAGATTTAGTTCTAAAATCTCCCTGTTTCTACTATTAATTATACCCTTTAGAAATAAGAAGAATAGCTTTAAGATATAGAATATCTATTCTAAGGGGCACCCACTAAATATTGGGATAATCGTTCATCGCAGAGGGCGTAGAGCCTTCGAATCGTGCGAGGGTAGGGGGTAGGCCAAAGGCCGCCCCGTACATGTCCTGCTGATATTAAGGGATTCTGGCCCCTTTTATAATTCTACCTAAGCTATGAAGGAACATAAGAATATACATGGTTACATACATGCTGATGACATCTACCAATATCCTCTGCGCACCCTCATAGACTTAATCAAAATCACACATATTAATTAATATCACATCCTCCCCTGCTTAGATCAAACTCTGTCCGCAGAGTTCTTAGTCAGCAAGCAGAAGGTTTAGTCAGCACCCATCATTGCAGCTAAACAGGGTTTAACTATTACCAAGATATATTAATTACCAGATCTGGCATTTAGATAGTATTATTTCTTTGTTAAACATCCATGGAACTAACCAAATTGTTCTTTATTCTCTAACTTCAAAATCAAGGTAGTGGTGGCCCAGCATCTTCTTTATTAATATATAAGGGTTGTAATTAGATCCCTTTACTTAGTGATGTTAATACGCGAGTTGCCTAAGCAATTAGTAATCACTAAGCAGTATATAGGGAATTATAATAAATATCACTATTCATAAACACATATAAATAAAAGAATTAATAAAGGTAGAATTAACTAATAATTATAAATAAATAAGTAAGCATTTACTGCTAGCATGTATAGCCTAGGTATAAATACCCTTAACCTTTAGCACTTCATCATGTATAATATTTTGTAGTTTAAGCCTTAATACCACATCCCTTAGCTAAACTCCTTCTTATCTAAACCAACAGTCTCTTATTATTGCTCCCTGATATAGAGTATTTTAGTGTTCTTCATGCCTTATTTCATCTTCATTCTATTAATTTTAAGATGCCTAATATTCCTGAACGCACTGGCACTGTATAGGTAGCTAAGAAAGAGATTAGCTACAAGTTAATAAGCACTTAAACATCCTGCGCGATGTTACTAGACCCTATATAAGAGATTAACTAGGCTACTTAAAATAAGCAGATTCTTATAAAGGACCTTAAGACACAACCTAACCATGATGCCTTCCTCCTATAATAACATGGCAATAAGATATCTAAACCATGTTCTACCTATGCAGGTGGTCATAGTACCTTTTATTCTTGCATAGCTGCCCCTAATATAATTAATTCTTCTGGATAATATTATTCTTTGTATACTAGCACCTATGTAAATTATATATAGAATAGCAAAGGTACAGACTGCTCTTTTTACCTTAGTAAATTAGGAGTCTAGAAGCCTAACCTTAATATATATAAATTCTCTTTTCCTTCCTTATTTTTATTTTATTCTTTTCTAATTCATACAGTCTGTTCCTTAAGTAAGGGGGCTTTATGCTCTTAATGATAACAGCCTTATTATATATGACTAGCCACCTGTTAAAATAGAGAACATTACTGCTAGTTTAATAGGGACTAGGCAACTAGTCATGAATACTCCCCTTAAGAAAGGCAAAGTATCTGCGAAAAAGTTAACCCTAGAGATTATTATATCTTCTCTGTCCAAAGGCCCTACTACTTATTCTTAGAAGAAGAAGTCCTTTTTTAATCCTCCTCCCTTTATATTAAAGACAAGCGCTCCTACTTCACCTTATAAGTCTATTAATCTTTGTCCATATAGGTTCTTCCAGGCTAATAAGTTTGATGTAGTCTTATTTTACTAATATCATTCCTAAGATGCTCCTTCCAAGGCCCCTTCCACCCTTCTTAATAAGAGGAAGAAACATCTGACCCCTTTAACTAATACTACTCCTTTAAAGCAGAGACATTAAGGTCATCCCATAGATAGTTAAGTGCTTACCTAGCTAATCTCTACTAAGGATTTTAAGAACTTAGGGCGCCTATGTTCCATTCACTAAGACCTAGTAAAGTTTAATAAGGTCATAGTGAATCAGATTGATGCTCTAGAGGCCATTAAGGTGGAGGAAGAAGATATAGAGGAGGTTAATAAGCATAAGAAGGCATATTAGAACTAGGTCCTTTTAGACCAGGGTGATCATTAAGGCTGAGGTAGAGGCTAAGGTGGTTAAGTATAGCTCCTATTAAGGAAGCTAATAAAGTTAAAGAAGCTTTTTTAGTTAGATTAATTTTATAGTTCTCAGAGTTTAGTATGGACATAGCTCTCTTACCTAGTATTAGTTTATGGTTTTCTTTTATACTTAGCTATCTTTAAGTAATTAGCTTTAGTTAAATGGGTAATTCATTCCTTTATCTTAATATTCTTATAATACTAAGCAGCTTATCCTTCTCTAATTACTCCTAATGAGCTGGAATCACCACTATAAATAGTCTATTAAAGTCTGTGTCTTTCCTACTAGCATCCCTTTAGAGTTAATCACTCCTTAATAATTTATATATTATTCCCCTATTCAGCTTATCATCTAAAGAAGTCAATTTAATTTCACTCCAGTCACTTCCTAGAGTTAACTCTTTTTAATAGTGCACAGGTTAGCCATTCCCTATTAGTATATTACTAATGCATTCTTAAAGCCTCATTCATTAAGTATATTATTTTATTAAGACACCCTCCCCTACCTGCTTTAAATATACTCCTAGATATTCAGTGGATTCCTAATCCTTTCAAGTTATTTTTAAAAGTTTATTATATGAGAATGAGGGGTCATCAACCTCTTTAAGTACCTTGTGTACTTTAATTAGCATGTGGATTAATAATCCTGCCTTCTATAATCATCATGTTAGTGCAGCAGATATCCATAATTTCTCTGGTTTATTCCTAATATTAGCTTCTACTAATTATTAGCTATTAATAAGGTTCTCTACTACATGTCCACCAGGTTCCGCAATAGCATACGTGCCAAGCAGGTGCAATTAAATAATTTAATATGGACTATCATGGTCAATCTTCATGTCAAAATTAAAAAAGATAAGGGCGAGGATCAAACCCATTTCAGCATATGCAAGGCTAAATATGGAGTTAGTAAGCTTCCTAATATAATATCTAAGTTTACTTACTTCTATCCAAGGCAGTTCCGTGGGCTAATGCTGAAGGGTTACAGGCTTACAGCGCATCTTATTAATTATTAGTAAACTTAGAATCACCAAGAAAGCACTCAGGGTTGAAAGTATTAGGCTTAGTAAAGTATTCCTTGCAGTGATAGAGTGCCCACTAGGGAACAGCCATATATATCTATAGATATAGTTAATGATATTACTCATTGCTTATTAATATATTAATATCTTCTAACCTATTCTAGAATATACTACCCTAAAATCTGCACTCCTCCCTTAGGAATGGCACGCAGAAGACTGTTCACTAATAATGGATACATATATAAAGCTTTATCTAGGTAAGCCAGCAAGTATAGGAGTTAGATAATACTAAAGAAGTTAATGTCTCTCTTACTGCTAAAAGTTAACTGCACCTCATTAACTAACTGCTGATAAGCTGCTGGATTCTAGAGTAGAAAATAGGTCACTCTGCTGAGAAGGATTGCAGTTGTTTCTAAACTAGTAATAATAAGGAGTTCAGCATTAGTAATAAGCTTATCTATAGTCAGGTTCTGTAAATTAAATAGCAGATGGTTATTAGTCCTAATTCTCCCTAGATTAAAAGGAGAAACTACTAACTAATTCTTCTTTCTTCTTTAATAATGCTTCCATCAGATCCACCTAATCATTAGTAACAGCAATGCACCACCATATTTTAGCTTCTGTATGCTGCCATAGTCTCCTATACAGGACTTTCACATCTATAGGAACCATATTTAAGGTAATTTATTTTACCCATAGAACAAACCCAAGAGCTTATATAACTATACCTAAGTAACTAAAGTTAAAAATTATCTTAATCTACTTATCATACTTAGAGTCCCTTAAGCATCTAATAGGAGTAGGCTGACTCATGTCCTCAGGATTTTAAGTATCTCAGAAATGTCGTCGGATCATACATGGAAAGTCGATCGGTACAGTCGATTGGGGTATGGTGGCCGCACAGTTATGGCCGCTCGCTTACCAATTACGTTAACTCTTAAATACCTTCATTGCAGTCGGCTGCATGAAGATCAATCCCAAAATACTATGATATAAATTTAACAGCATGCCAGGCAATAATTGCCCCAACTTATTTCTTATTATCAATGGTTTTTCCTGGAAATAGGCAGTCTCACCGCACGCAAAATATAGTATCTTTTATACTTTATGTCCAGCAGCTGTGCAGGCACTGCTGCATGGTAGGGCACGCTAGCGCCCTGGATTCCTCCACTTCAACCCCCGCTCTTCACAATGTATTCAGCTGCTAACACAATCTCAACCTTAGTGTGCAGGAGTAAAGAGGTGCACATTTTATTCTACAAGACGCACTATGGCGAGACCCCCTTATAAGTGGTTGCTCATTGAGCATAATCTTATAGCTTCTATATTTTGTCATTGTAACTATTGCATTCAGGTCACTGTATTCTGAATATTTTTTATAATGCTCTGTTTATTTACACCCCCTTAGACTTAGTATGCTCTTTAATTAAAGCTAGTAAGTTTCAATATTTACTAGACTATTTAAATATCTGATGAAAAGAAAGATAGAGTTCTATTGTCCTAAAAAAATCTACAGTCTTAATACTTCGCGCGCTATTAATATTAGCATGTATAACTCTGTGATCACCTGTGTTCACTGGCCACTTTTCTCTTGGTGGTCATTCTCGTGTTTTCTTCCCTAATTAGCATATACACCACCTATCCCCTATCAGCCACTTGTTGACTTCAAAGCTTCAATGGCAAATTTCTGCTATAAGACCCTGGACTGGAAACTACAGCCTGACAGGCTTGTGACCCATGCATGTCCGTCTTAGAAACATCAGATTGATGTATGAGATACTCAAACGTTTGTTCTAGATATATCAGCAATGGAACGTAAAAAATGGAACGCATTGTCAACTGTAGTGTGAGATTAAGCGTGATTAAAGTAGTCCTGCTCACTATAGATAGGCCCTATTCTACTTGGGATCGGTTGAAGCAAACTAAAGGAAACGTGCTGAAAGGACGAACCACACACCAAGCCGTAAATCAATTATCTGCAAGTGCCATCACAGGAAAAAATAATGCAGATAGAGTTCATACTTTACGTAGTACCAATTTACAAACCCCATGCCTGTAGAGTGGCTTTCCGGCCAAGAGAAGCCCTTCCCTAAAACCTTCATCTGTGCACACAGCAGATATTAAATACTGTAGACTACAACTATATTAGTAGCAAGTAAGAATGGGAGTAAAGCTACTAATATCTATGCAGTTTGAACCTCTTAATAGCCCTATACCTACAAACATACTTAGTATCCTTATATGAAAGTATGAATTTACCCCAGCTAGTTGCCTATAATAAGTACAGTGTGATTGTAATCCGGATAATCTGAGCGTGCATGAAGCCGAGACTAGAGCCTAAAGGATGAGTATGATAGCTGCTCAGGATGCAGTGGGCAAGGCCCAGCAATATGATTGAGGATGCATAATTGAGAAATTAACTAAGTCTTACCTAAAGGAGACTGGGCTTCCTGCGCCAAGTCTGCAATAGGAGCTGGAGCCTTATGGACCGCATATGCTGCTTCCATATATCAAGGAGTAGTATGCGCAGATGGAAGAGGTGAGAGGGTGGGTGCTGTAGTCGTAGTTCGTAGGTTGGCTTGTTTCTAATGCTACAGCAATACCTGTCCATATTATTAGATGGGAGTGACCATAGTAGTGATGCTTGAATAATATACAACGGCCACCACTCTCTAGTCAGCATTTGACTCTACAGTGTCATGTCAAAAGCAGCGGAATCCCCCTTAATTAAATGTTCTGAGCTAGATACTTTTAAGAAACAGACGATAAATGACAGAGTTGAAACTGTAGCTAAAATAAGTTCACTCTTTCTTCAGCCGCCAATTCCCCTGCAACTCGATGCACGGATAAGGGTATCATCCACATCAGGGTACCAAATTTTGAAGTACTCAAACTGAATCCACCGGCCTTTAGCGCAGGGTTGCTCACCTTCCAGTTACCGTAGTTGTCTAATCCCTGATGTTGCTTGTTATTCTCATCTGCAAACTCAGCGAGCAGAACAGGTGTCCTTGTCAGATGCTTATACCAATGTGACGCCAAAGAAACAGTGTTCCTGCCGCCAGACACACTACCCCAATCTCAGGATTCAGATATCGAATCATGCGAAGGAAATCGGATGCAGTACCATGGCGGCATACCGCCTGCAAGAATGGCTGGATGTACACCGGCGTCATCATGCTCATCCAGACCCATACCCACAGAAATCCAACCAATCTTTTCCACAGAGGAGTGATGGTTTGGGCAGTGTCCTTTGACTGCCCTTCATTATCACTCCTGTTTGACAGTGTTTTTGCATGTTTTCCTGTGATGTGACGCCACAGCTCCTGGATACCGTCCTCAATCATAAATCCCATAGTGAAACTGCAGTAAAATAGCAGAGCGCCTGATTCACGCCATCGAACTCCCAGGAGGACGTCATTGATGAGATGGAGGATACCTGAGAGACTGAAGACACATAGAACATGGAAGTATCTGTACACCGGCCCTGGTTTTGAAATTCTCAAGATCTTCCTCACCAAGAATGTCGCTATGGCTGTAAAAGGCCATCGCAGCCACTGGTGCCAATATAGCCCCCAGAACCGGCGCAGAGTCCAAGCGTCCAGTGTGCTATTGAATAGAGGCGGCCAATCGACTGGTGTAGTTAGGCCTATGGCGACGGAGGCAACGCTGATCAGCCGGAAAGCAATGTCAAGAGTTGGGCGAGCGAGGAGAATCCATACAAGAGGCATGTAGATTTGCCAGGCTCGCAGGAACTCCCTAATCCAGGGCAGGACTTCACCACACGTCGTCGAATTGGGTACAATGCTCTGCACAAACCGGACTGTAAGGGCGATAGAAAAGAGTTGCCATGCTGCAATAATGCTCTGCCTCATGCAGAATTGATTTGGGCTTAGACGCTTGGCGTGTTTCAAACAGGGCAGGAAATCCGGTGTGTTCTTCACCTGCCACTTCGTCCGAATGCCTCGATAATTGAATTGTAGATACACTCCGCTCCAAATTCTCTTACTCAGGCTCGCGTGGGGGTGTAAGAGACCCTCCCTTTCAAGGTCTGCTCCATCAAGCTCGAGGAGGATCAAGAGGTTGACTGCATGTAAAGTATGTAGGAAGGCATCCGCACCCAAATACGCCCCTAGTGGGCGATATAAAGGAAGTAATACTGCGCTAGCGCCTTCCATTACTGACAGAAATACCAGTGTACCAATACCAAAGTACCGGGATAGGGAACCTCTTCGGGTACAGGTAATCAGGACACTGAAAAGGGCGTAGCGGATGAGATGAACACTGAAGGGAAGTGCCAAAGTAATCAGCTGCACTGAAAGAGGTTGCAATAAGCTCATGTTGACGAAAATCGAGTGCATTGGGAAGTTCGTAGGCAGCTGCGCCCAGAAAACGTGAAGTTGAGGTCCAATGCGACCTGAACTTTCCGCCGTATCAGTGCTAATTATGCGAGCAGATGGCTCCAATAGATGGTTGAACAAGGAATTTAGGGCCGGAGGGATTGAAAGATCAGATTTTCAAGGACAAACAGATATCCAGCAAGGCAGAACCCTGTTATTTTTTATGTGTCTATCGCAGCAGTTTCACTCACTCAAGCCCTGATGCTGGGTATTTGTATGAGAGATACGAGCGATTTCTCTTGTAATGGTAAAGCGGGTTCCATCAACCTGCCACAGGTGTTACCTGACGAACAGAAAGTAAATCTGCAGAATTTATCGGAACCAAGGGATCGTCTGGAGTCGCAGATTCCGCAGAGGCCGGCGCATTCCACAGGATGAACCAAATGAAATGGACGGCTATTGGTGGGTGCAAAACGTCTGAATGTACAAATATAATGGCAAACACTATGGACCATCATGGACCCGTCGCAATGAGATAACAGATAGTGTCACACTGAAGAGCATCCTACCGTTGTATCCACGCCTTTGCAGTGGTATACGTATCCACCATGCTGATTATGGGTAGGTCTGCCTAAGCCGTGCGGATCGTTCCCCGCCGGATGCTACGTTAATTCAGCCCTACGAAAGAAAAAGCGGCGATGCTGTAGCCAGGCATCTGGTAGCACCACAGTTAAGTCCAGGCAAGATGACCCCATGTCTTCCTAGAATCCTCTCAAGCAATAAGCCAGTCATCATATCTAGACCCTAGGTCCCTTCCGGCTATGATGTCAATTCATTGTTCAGCGCCAAAAATGCCAACCAGTTCTGTTTAATAACTGTACCGCCTCATGGACGGTCCACAAAAATTTTAACTACCCAAAACACATGCATCGATCTATCAAAGAAGCCTACAGTGACAGTTCCTCCTGACACTATTTTTACTAAGAATGTCCCAGGTCGAGGAGCTGCAGGCGTCTCGCGGGTATCGCCAGAACCCCTCTACACTCACTGTAACGAGCGTTGGCATGTGTGTATGCTGGCTCGCTAGTTACCCTGGAATGATCCGCAAGTCGTTCCAGGACCGTATTTACTGCATGCCATTGATGCCACTTTGTTGCGGTATCGCCTTTGAGTTCATATACTCCGTGATAAAACCAACTCCCCCCCCCGCCCCCAACCCCAACGCCAAAACAAAAGGAGGACCCAATTCATCAGTACCTCTTCGCGAGCTGGCTGGCCCTCAGTGTCGTGGTCGTCTTCACAGCTATGAAATTCGCGCCCAGTGAATGGGAGCATGCCCTGCTAATTCAGCGGAATACTGTCTGCATATTCGCCGTCAGTATTGTCGGTCGGATGACTGCGCATTTGGCGTTGGTTGACCAATTTTGACCGGACATGGAACGGCATGGAGTGGTGGTCATTCTCATCAATGAAGTGTACAATTTTGTAATCAATAATTGCAGAATTGTGGGATTATGATGAGACTGCTTTGCAATTAGAATTGATGTTATGATCTCCCCTGTTAGCATGCTCCGACTGGTCTTCGGTCCGTGGATACGCTGGCCATGGACCGCTTTCTAAGGTTACTTCTGAGATTCATAGACGCATGTCGGGTTACAATCTGTTCTTACGCGTTAGCCTTGGCTGCGATGATTCATGGCCCTCTGCATAATTCTTCCCCATAAATGTTCGCCTGATATCTTCCAGATTCGGCTGCCAGAGCTCAAGTCATCCAATCCTGAGACTTTCCTTTCTATACCCAGTACCAGAACACCCGCAATTCCACAGGATGACGAGACAGCTCATGTTTTCTACCTATCCAGACCTACTTATCGCCCTCGTTCTCAGCACCATGTTCCTCATCTCTGCCGCTCTCATTTTTGTGCACGGGAAGATCCCCCCTTCAATTCCCAGAGAGATTCCTCGAATTAGAGGAAGAAAGGAGATTTTCAGTGGACTTGGAGCCTGCTTACGAGGCTGGATTTCGGCTCTACCGTTCCTCTTAGCAGGATATGACAAGGTAATAACATTTCTTTGTGTAGGCAGTGACTGTAATCCATCCATCAGGCATCACACTACCCGCGGGCCACCATCTGCCACAGGGTATATGGTTGCCGCATCCACGTTGGATGTTCATATGGACGAGAGATTATATCACAATGGGCAGTCATACAAGCCATTCTGATTCCGAACACTATAAGCGCCCATGCCTAGGGGAGGGCATCATACTAATCCTAGGGTTGACAGGGGGGAGGGGAGGAGGGTAACTCCTCCCTACCCCTTAACTTTATCAAATCTTAATATTTTTGAATGATTTAAAATAATTTATGATTCTAATTAGCTAAATTATTATATTCTAATATTAAATTCTAGATTATTTACCAGGAAGGTGGTCGAACTAGGAGGGTAGGAGTAAGGTTGAAAATTTTTGTTGGGGTCTGCCAAGACCACTATCTGCGGGAAGCCTATACCCTTTTAGGCCACCACCTGGTATAGATTAGTGCCTAAGGCATCTATTAGCCTAGCAGAGCCTTAGAATTCAGGCAGAAATTATGAGAAAAATAATTTCTAGTATTTATGAAGAGTATAGTACTAGATGACTAATAATTAATATTTTTAGTGAATAGTAGGGACTTTTAGCTATAGAATGATAATAGTCAGATTATGTAAGCATGATTCCTGATTTTTTAAAAATTCTTAAAGAAGACTTTAAAATTTATTACCTGCTGACTAATTATCACTATTTTTAGTGAATAGGCCTTATTTTAACTAGAAGAATGATATATAGTATGCTTAGTAATGCTAAGTCTAGAATTTTTAAAAATTCATAGAAGTTAATGTTTTGTGGATTTCATCTAGAGAGTAGGTCTAGACTTAGTGGTCTAGTAGGGAGAGGCCTATAAGCAGGCTATCTCAACTAGATGATTCGGCTTCGATAGGTCCCTGCGTGGGCTATCTACACTAGGTGATTTGGTTGCGATAGGTCCCTGCGTGGGCTATCTTAACTAGATGTTTTAGCTTCAATAGGTGCCTGAGCAGGGTATCTAGACTAGTTAATTTGGTATTACTTAGCCTAGTGATTCGGCTTTAATAGGTCCCTGAGCAGGGTATCTAGACTAGTTGATTTAGTATGGCTCAGCCTAGTGATTCGGCTTCGATAGGGCCCAGCATGGGCTATCTAGACTAGATGATTCGGCTGCAATAGGTCCCTGCGTGGGCTATCTCAACTAGGTGATTCGGCTGCAATAGGTCCCTGCGTGGGCTATCTAGACTAGTTGATTCAGTATGGCTCAGCCTAGTGATTCGGCTTCGATAGGCCCCTGCGTGGGGTATCTAGACTAGGTAATTCGGTATGGCTCAGCCTAGTGATTTGGCTTCGATAGGTCCCTGCGTGGGCTATCTCAACTAGATGATTCGGCTTCAATAGGTCCCTGTGTGGGGTATCTAGACTAGTTGATTTAGTATGGTTTAGGCTAGTGATTCGGCTTCAATAGGTCCCTGCACAGGGGCACTAGATGAGGTGATTCAGCATCATTAGGCCTAGAATATATATAGTATAGTCATCCAGACTTCAGGAGACCTTTGACTAGTGAATATATATAACTAAATATATATAGAATAAAGGGAAAACAAATATATATTTAACTCATGCTAGCCTAGTGCTTCTAGAATCTTCTAGATCTATCTAGGCCTACCAACCATATCTAGCAGAATGAGAAATAGCAAATCTATAGAATAATAGTGCCCCTAGCACCATCTCTGTATCTAGCTCCCACCTCTTCAAGATAACATTCTCTAGCCTAGCAGCCTGAGGCAGTAAGCTAGTATCTAGGCAGCTAGCAGGGTCATGCTCTAGCTCCTCCTTATACTCAATGACTAGGCACCAGAATACCCTAATCAGATCAGATGAGAAACAGGCCTGGCCATCCTGGGTAAGGAGAGGGCCCCTGCATGCCCTAGTAGGTAGGAGACACCTAAAGCAGCAGGTTTCTGCCTCAGGCTTCCCATGTTGCTGCCTTAGCCTAGTTGCATCCATCTGATATTCCTTCCACTGAGAACATTCACTAGTGCCATGAGCACATGACCTCATTCTTGCTTCCTGACGATTCAGGTTTTCATCTTCTAGATCATAGGTTAGCATAGATTCAATAGATCCATAGATTCAATAGATAGCTTACCTTGAATAAAGCAGATCAGGCAGTATCTTTCATGCCAGAATCTCATTGCTTTTGCAAAGAAATCAATCTGGATATGATTCTGCCCTTCTGCCTGCCTAACCACCTGCCTAACTAGGCCTAGTGTTGATTGCCTATGCTCACATAGATCACAGAGGGCCCAGCTAGGGTCACATGACTCAATAGCCCTAGCATTGAAAACCCTAGATATCACACGTCGCCTGCAGACCTGATCACCTAGATAATTCAGGAATGTGGTGACCTCTAGGGCTTCACCTTCCTGATTAGGCCTAGCCTGCATCCAGAATGCCTTCACTAGGCAATATGACCATCCAGGTTGATCAGGTGATCTACCAGCGCGACCAGATTCCTGCATGAAACTAGTCATCTCATATTTCCCAGGCATGAAATGGATGACCAAGTCAACATCAGGGAAATCATACCCTGCCCCAATGGCGCCAGTAGCCACTAAGATATACCTGCTAGATTGAAATAGATCTAGCTGATCTAGCTTAGCCTGATCTAATAGATCAGCATGGAATTTGGCTGCCTCAGGCTCCATCTCCTCAGATATGGCATCCACTAGCCGTTTGGACCGGCAGAAGATGATCACCTTAGCCCTAGGCCTAGCACTAGTACTAGACCTGAATGGGCCATGTTTCATCTCAAAGGTCTTGATGAAGTGCCTGAGATAGGGGGCATATTCTGTTTCAGGCAGGCGGTCAGGGGCCTTCTCCACCCTATACACCATGTTTGGAAGGGTAAGGTCTGCCCTAACCACTGGAATCTGGGGTAGGGACCCTAGCTTCATCATGTCAACTAGCTCAGCCTGCAGGTGATGAGGTAGGGTAGCTGAGCTGAATACCATGGGCACAGGTAGGGCTAGGGCATGCCAGGCCCGCGACATGATTGGCCGATAGCTTTTAGCTAGTGGAATCAGATGACATTCATCCCAGATGATTCGCGCTAGCCTCTGTTGGGTAATCAGATGATCAGCTAGCTCATTGAATCTAGGGTGCTCTAGGTGCTCAATCTGCACTAAGATAAGCCTAGAACTAGCTGGTGGTGTCATGGGCTGCCCCCATGACACGCGCCGCCTTGTGTACGCGGCTGTGTGATCACCTGACTAGCAACTGGCGTCCAGCCTGGACACCACCAACTGATCAATCACGTGATTAGGACTGGTTATTACATTGATTAGTATGATAGCCGCCTGTACCTAGTTTCCTTCCTTCTCTAGCAATTCCACTTCATACCTTCGTGGCCTATTGGGACGGCTAGAGTAAAGCCTCAGACTGAGATATTCTAGTCCGTGACAGGTGGCATGATCTGATTTGGGTCCCAGATAGTAGGCTGGAGGCCTAAGGCAGCAGCTTTCCTAGATAGGTCTAGCTTCAGAGAGATTAATGGCACAATCACCATGGTCACCTGACTAGTAGCTAGACTAGCCCCAAAAAGGAATAGTGTTGTTTTGCCAGCTGCAGTAGGGAGTACTAAGAAGAGATAGGGCACCTGTTTCATCATGAGATGGAATGCCTGGCGCTGCTCAGGGCTCCTGAAGGTCACCTGATCATCTTGCATAAACTCTTTAAGCATATGATCTAGCAAACCCTCATCTAGCTGCTAGGGTTAGGGTTTAGGGTGGTTAGGG